AGCAAGATTCTTTGGGTAAAAACCCTGTTGGCAAATCTTTGGATCTCATAGGATCCGTACGCCAATAATGTCCAAAATGGTGCCTTTATCATCTACCAAAAGTATGGCAGTTTGGGACAGGTCCAAATACGGTAAAATAATGTACCTTTATTTTTACAGCATTTCAAAACATCTATTGAACTTCTCAGGTGCCACATAAGTCCTCATCAGCCATTTGTATTGCAGCAGTGTGGTAAATGATTGTTTCAGACATGCCCTTTCCCCCTTAACGTGACTTATGTCTTGCTCTGTATCTGTTTTCCACACCTTTGATGTACCTTTTCTAGACTCATTATCCTTGGTAAATAAATGCCTCATTAAACACAAAGATTAGCTTCTTCTTACCCCAATTTTTGTCACTAGATGTACAAGGTATGTGTGTAAACATATAAATGATTGCTTTTGGGGTATACTGAAATGTCTTAGCTGCATAAACTTAATAATTATAATTGAATTTTATCAAGCTCACATTGGAGAAATTTACCTCTGCATTTAAACCAACCAACCTAGGGGAGCAGTGGGCTGCCATTGTGCAGTGCCTGGGGAGCATTGTGGGGTCTTGCTCAGAGACCCAGAGCGGCAGTTGGGCTCAAACTCAGAACCTCAGTATTCCAAACTCTATGCCCTAATTACCAGGCCGCCTCTCCCCTCACATAATAAAAGTGCCTTTTAGAAAGACCAAACTCAGTTCTTCAAATGTCATAAAAATGGTGTCTGAAAATAGATCCCCTATTTTTTAAAGTCCTGTTTTTCTGCCCATATTCTAAAGCCTCCACCAGAATATCCTGCTGGTAAAAATAATTACCTAAAATTTGCAAACAATCTAAAGGTGATGCTGGGATCAGGTGAGATCATCTATCAGCCAGACAACGATTAATCCTGCTCTCTACGCAGTACCACCAGCCATGCAAACATGTGGTAGAAGGTCGTCTGGTTGGAGGGTAAAAATACTCTTTGGCTTCTTTGCAAAATGATGTGTGATAAGAAGCATCGACCATAACCCAGAAAATGATATCCCCAAAGTGAAACATGTTAGTGGTAACATCATGCGGTGGGAATGCTTTGCATCTGGGGAAATATTTAGAGTTGATGGTAAAATACATGAAGGTAAATAAAGAGAAAACCTTGGGGGACGGGGGAACTACAGCAGAGAGGTTTATTGATAAAAGTTTACACTTGTCTTAATCCATTTGTGCCCCTGAGGCAAATCTTCACAGTCTAAATAAAGCCTGGGTCTATTTTCAATCTGGAAGACTATGTCAAATCTCACCTGACTGCTGCGTCATTTGGATCTGGCAGTCTTCTTCTCCTCTCTGCGCCTCTAAAGGAGCCGAAAAGCATCCAAGACCCTCTCTTTCCAAGCTGCCACATCCATGTCTCCATTTGTCTTCCAACCGAGCTGCAACCCACCTCCTCCCCATCCATCCAGCTCCCTTCCTTCACCTTCCATTCCAACACCAGCATCCAGAATCCAGCACAAAATCTCTACCTCTTCTACCGGGATCTGAGCGCCAAGATGCTCATATTCATTCATTCAATGCAATAAACTCTCCAGTTGCCTCATTGTGTGTCTTTGCAGATTAAAATGATAATAAAGGAGTTAAAACCTGGTATTTTAAATGTATAATCCTTTTGAAACTGTTGTTTAATTCATGTTTAATCAGTTTTAGAGAGAACAAATTAAATAGCGCTCATTCTGATGCACCCTTTGGTGGAATAGAGAGTGGCGATAGCAAGGAAGGCTAATGTTAGCACCTGTTGTGGGAAAAAAATTTATTCAACTATTCTCTCCAGTTAAATAAATGGACCACACAAGAAAAATGACATAAATCATCCTTTATGGAGATTGCGCTCCTGTGTACCAAACCACTTTCCCATTCCGGATTTTCCATCTTTAATTGAAGCCCATCATCAAGACACACGCTGTAACATGAAAAAAATCCAATTTCCAGGTGACTTTTGCCAAAATTTTCTTTAAGGGGAATTGTTTTTCTCTAAATGTGCAAAGATGATAAAATGGAAAGACTTGCATCTATAACTGCAGTGAAAAGGGTTTGAATTTTTATTCATGCAAACCATCTGTACAGCTTTGTTTTCTTCTGTCTTATAAACTCTTCACACTACATGACTAAGTTTGTATTTTTAACGTCACAAAATATGAAACACTTCAAGATTCATGAGGCATACCAAAGCAGAGATACTTAACTATTGTTTGGCACTGACTTATATAAAATACTCAGTGTAGAAGAACGATACATGTATTATTCATTATGTGCTATGCCACTGCTTGCCTTATAGCTGTCTGCCCCTCACAGCACGTTGATGTTATGCATGCCATAAAAACTGTAAACATTGTGATTAAATGAACAAGTTCTGTATTAAAATCCTGTCAGTTTCCATTCATTACAGACAGAGACGTTGTTAATGCAGAAAACATGAGGAGCGAAGGTCTGTCTTCTGTATTAGATGTATCTAGTGAGACCTGCTTTGATCTGCGATGTCTGCGTGCGCGTTTGAGTGAAGAGAAGGCGTGTTTAGGGATGGGCAGGATAAAACTTTCTCCTTTAATCTCCTAAATTAATCTGAACTCAGATGGATTTGAAAATGTATGAATCCAAAATGCACATGTGGAAGAGGAGCCTTTGATGGGAGATTGCTGTAAACGTGCAGGACGTCTTCATTTCGTCAGGATTTATCTAAAGGTTGTTTTCTTGATAAGCCCTAATATCACACCAGAGATTGAGGAGTCACAGCCTTTTTTATGTGAACTCAAAGGCCCTGGGGGCCAAAGGCCAGTCTGCTCACATGACGGTGAGAGGAGATCACCCTGGGCTCATTAATAATTCACAAACAATAAGGATAGGTGTCACTTATGCTCATCCCTGCAGTAATGAGCTCACATTGCCCTCTTAAAGATCTGTTTACTATGCGGCCAGGCGCCTCAGAGATACACCGATGTGTGGAAATCTTCCTCAAGGTCAGAGGAATACAAATCTACATGAGGGCACAGACGTTGTCTCTTATTACCTGCATAGATCCCAAAAAGGACAGAGGTTCATTTTCATAAATATTAAAACATGTTTTCACTTTACTAAGGGAATGAGGGATTAACATTTCTACCTGTCAGGAGTAAGGTGTGTTTTCATGATTAGCTAAACATCCCTGCGATTACCTCATGTGAATTAATCATGCAATCCTACCATATGTAATTATTATCAAAAGCTCCTCATTCACCTTTTTGTATTGTAGGTGTGATTTTTTTTTTTTTAAAGGTGCCGAAGAGGAGGCACAGTTAGGAGATAAGTAGTATGTTGAGCCGCATGTGTGGGGCTCAGATTTCTCCATGTTGAGTCATGCATGTTGCATGTAATTTCATTTTCTCTTTTTATTATTTTCATGTGGCTCACCTAGTGCAGACAATTCATGTAATTAATTACCGCCCCAGAAAAAAGATACAAACATGTTGATGTTGTTTCAGTAGATCTGCTGCAACTACTGTAGGAAGGTAAAATTTAATGAGACAATTACCAAAACAGATGAGGAGTGAGCTTTTAAAGAGAACACCTTGGTGAATGTTAACAGCTTGTTAGAGTGAGAATATTTACAGAAAGCATGTAATTAATGACTTGTTTGTGTTGCTGCTCATTAGGAGTGGGAGAAAAAGGGTTGAAGCTTTGCTCAGTTTAACAAACATGTCATATGTGCTTCTGGCAGAAACCACTTGTCTCTTTTAATTATTAATTTTATTAGAATTTATAAGAATCTATTTCAGTGACTGGGGAAAGAGTTAAAGTGCAAGTCAAAAAGGTTATAAAGGAATCAAAGAGAATAATTAATATTGTTTAGAATTAGACTTGTAAGATAATGTAGCTTAGGTGGAAGTTCACCTGAAGAAACTATTACTTACCCTCATCAGCCCGCATCACAAGCCACTTAGCTTAACCCGCACCTCCACGAAGCCCAATCAGCATCCATAGTTCATCTTAAAACATCTCCAAATCCACGTCTCAGTCTGCTACCCAAGCACAAGCAGTGGTTGTGCTTTGTTTGACTTCGATTCAGATAATCCCCGTTTCAACCCACCCCATTCCCTTCTCCAACATCACAGCTAAAGCTTCATCAGTGTCATTCCTCCCGTACTCTTATTGCATTCCATGTCTCATCTCAACCGGTCTGGCAGAAGACTGCTTTGTTGAGCCTGGTTCTGCCAGAGGTTTCTTCCCAAAGGGAGTTTTTCCTCTCTACTGTCGCTTCATGCTTGCTCATCATCCAAGTCCCCGGGTGAAGCACTAGTTTCAGCTCACACAGTCCACTGGATCTCTGCATTGAGCTCAAGTGCACCATCTCACCAGCCACCAGTCATGGACTGAACTAACTTCTTCTATCTCCACTCCAGCAGTTTCACGCCTGTGGGAAAACTTCCTTATTCTTCTCCTGTTTATGCATATCAAAGTAGATTCAGCTCTACTGTTTCCTGCCGAGGTCTGAGCGCCAAAGACTAAAGTAATTGTATCAATAAAATTCTTCTCTCTTCTTTCCGTGTGAGTTTTTCAGATTTAACTGATTATTAGAAAATTCACAAGGAGATTTCAGAGAGGCCTGCCACCTGCAGCACAGTTTTCTTAGGGTAGAAAGATTGTGATTGCATTCGTAGCAGCTTGTGCTGCTATACATTGGGTGACTTATGTTGCCACAGTTTTGGCTACTTACGTTTGACATAGTTTGTGGTGACTTATGCCGCCATGGTAACTCAGCTGCCGATACCAGTAACGTACACCGTGTATGTTGAGTTACAAAGTGTACGTTTGAACTTACACTTTGAGCTGTAGCTGGGTACAACAGTGGGAAATATTTTACAGTGTATGCCCAGCCTAAGGCAGCCAGTCGCAACGGGCCAAAGCTGTCAGGAAATTAAATAAAAAAGACAATAAAAACAACAATAATGACACAAAACAGAAAAATCTGTTTAATATATTTTAATTTATATTTAATATGGATTTTAGCATATCATAACAATTGTACTGTAAAAGCTGCTTTTTATTGAAATGTTAAAAGAAGTATTTGATATTTTTATACAAAGTACAAATGTATCGCTCTGTTATGTACCTGAATGAAAAGCTTTTGGAACATATATAAATACAGATATTAACAAAGGACATGTAAAAGTCGTTCACTTATGTAACATAGATTATTGTGCTTAAAGGCTATAGAAAGGTTTCTAGTAATTTAATGTTTTGAAATATTTAAAATCTTACTACATCTAAAGAAAAGGTAAAAATATATAAAGGGATAACTTGATGTTTATATCTGGTTTAGATGTGTAAACAGTTGGAGGTTTAAAAGAAAATTAAGAAATCTTAAAATGATTCTGCCTGAAATGTTTTAGATCACATTGAAAAATGACTTTTTTTATAATGTCTCAATCTCAAAGCTGATTCAGTTTCATTAAAAAAGCACCACTGTAAGTCTGAGCCCTTATTTAGTTGCAGGTTTCAGACTTTCTATGAAGTTATTCTCCTCTTCCTGTCCCGACCAACTTCAGTCCATCCATTCCAGCACCAGCAGGAGTTAGATCAGGTCAGCACCCAGGTCTCCTTTTGTTTCCTTTGTTTCCCTCTTCATCGTCATTATAATCATCCCTGCTTCCATCTCTCAGCTCAGAAACTGTGTGTAGCCCTCTGCACCTGTAACTATGACGTCCATCCAGATCCTCATGGCCTCAGGAGACGGGGCCACCATGTAGTACAGCCGATCATGAGTTTTCACACAGAAGGTCAGGGCTGGATTGGGACTCTAGGTGACAGGAAGAGAGGATTTTATTTATTTTATTGAAACATGGACGCTTTTGAACAAATAATTATTGACAAAATGAACACTCCTGTCAAAAATTTTTATAGTCTTTACAAAGAATTTCTCTCATTTTTAAATTCTATCCAGACTTTACGCTAAGCAAACCTTTTAAGTGGGGGAAGAAAAAAATGAAACACCGTTGTAAACAAATGTTTAGAAAATACCATTACAATCATAAGAAGGCCTATATTCTTTTCCTTAAACTTTACAGGTCATAGCTAAAACCTTTTAATAAATGCTAGTTATTAAAAAAAATGCATCCACAGAATCCCCAGAGTGATACAAGATAAAAGTAGGCCTGATTATTTTACTGTAAAAAACAAAAGTATATTAAAAATTGTTTTATAAATTTTAAGGGTCGTAAATATATAAAAATATACAATAGAGCTGAGAAATGGCTGCATCTCTACATTTACATTTCGCAGATTAAAGCCAAGCAAAACCAAAAGAAGCAAACTGAGGATGATAATCAGTGAAGCTTTTTAGAACTGGTACCAACCTAAGAAAATATGAAGGGAATTTTGTTCCATTATTGTTACAAGAAAGAAAAAAATGTGTAAATAAAAATAAATCATCATAAATTAAACTTTTTAAATAAAAAAAGGCTTTGAGAGTAACTTTGCTGTTTACTCAGATTTTGTCCTTTGACATTATTCTTGAGTTCTAGTTTTTCCAGAATTTCTAACAGTGATTAATATTTTAAATTTACTTCAAATATTGGGTTTCAGATTGACTTTTCCGAATTAAAGTCTTTTCCAATGTCTTTCACAGATCACATTCTCTTTGCCACTAATCCAATACAAATGCTTGTTCCTAATGCGTACAATGACAATGCAGTGATGTTGTTAATGTCAATGCAGAGCAATAGAAATATGTCTTTGATGCTCAATCCAAAGCAAAGTAAAGACAATGTGATCTTTAACACGTCCTCTATACAGAATGGAATTCCTAAAGCTCAATCTTAATATTAAAAATATGAATAGGTAAGAACAAAAAGAAAATAAAAGATCTGTAAAAAAAATATAGAAAACTGAGAAACTAACGTTTAAAAAATTGTACAGAGGAAAGTAAATACAATATGAAAAAAATAAAAATCTAAAGAAGCAGCAAAGATACTTACAAAGTATTTTTTTAAATAAATATCTTTCAAAGTTTCATTACTAGTTTGATTTCTTTTTCATAATTAAATTTACAACATTTCTATTTATTTAAATCTATAAAACATTGTCTTAACTTGTAATAATAATGGAACAAATGTACTTCAGAAGAAAGGAAAGTGGTTCAGAAGCCACACCAAGGTGTCTACTCCTCCTGAACGAGTCGATTAAAATTTGGCAACTGCCTGGAAAACAGCACAGGACGAAAGTGAGGGCAGAACTTACTGGCTGGGAGGAGAGAGAAACTTGTATCTATTATCTTTAAGATGAATATATTAACACTTGTTAAGAGTACTGGGTCTCCTCTGATGCTGTCTTCTCTTAAACTCAGACATTATCTATGCAATTTAGGTCTAGAAAAGCAACTAAAGAAAGGCAAAGAAAGGGGATTTTTGCCAAAAAAATTGTCATTTTTCAGTCTGGAATCATCCTAATTTCTGTAATAGTAGTAATGTAGTTTTCTATAAAAACAACAAAAAAAAATCTTATCATGGATTCTAAAAAAGTTCCTGGAGCCTCGCTGATCCTCCACAATATTTCTATTGCGGAAGAACCGTTTCCATTTGGCATCAGAACTTTTTCCAAACAGCCTTTTCATTCTTCATTTCTAACCAATCTAGTCAAAGCATTTCATGCATAAAAGCTCAACCTTGATGTCATTTGTTCCGACCACTCTTTTCTAATGTAAGTCTTGGTACATTTGATCCAACTCTATCTATTGAAGTTTGTGGCTGAAGCAGAGAGGTTTGTTTTGTTTTTTTTCCCCTGAAGAACTACTTAGCAGTAACCATAAGATCACTACTGAGCTTATGGAGACTCAATGATTAAAATATTCTTTGACCAACAAATAAGTCCTTAAAATTGAAATGTAATCTAATAAACAGTTATTTACTGAAAAAATATCTTATTTATTTTGTTATAATGTTACTGTCTATTCATATTTTACTGGTTAAAAGTGTAATTCATCAACCAGCATTTTTATAAAATATTTTTTTTTTCTTTGAGTTTCATTCCATCCATTTTCCACCTCATTAAATAAAACTTCCAATATTAAGAGTAAAAATATGCTACTTTAGCAAAAGAGGTTTTACTTTTAAGGGTTTTTAGCACATCTTTACCAATGCTGCAAACCCATCTGTCTATTTGTGCAGTTTTCTGTTTAAAAGTATTACTGGGTTTGTTTAAACCTAAAAGATCTTTTTAAATCCAAAACATGAATACGTTGTGTGAACAGATTATCTGAAATTTGAAAGCTTATCAAAAACATTTCTTTTTGGTTATTAGACTTCCTAATTCCTCAACCTACAGTAAATGAGGAGAAAAAAATAAATAAAATCAATCCTTCACTGTTATTCAACTATCAACTTTTTAATTTTGTAAACAACAACATAATACATAACTCATGCTAAAAATGTAACATTACAAAGTATTTATAGTAAAGAAGTGTTTACCTTGGCGGCGCTGCGCAGGTGATCATAGTAAACCTCTTCAATCGCCTGAAAGTAAATGAGCCCTTTCAGCTTGGTCTCGTGCTTGTCTGAGAGGAGAAAAAGAAAATAAATATATGAAGTTACATTAAATTACATCTTGTTGCACTGATGCAAGACCTCTGCCAGACCGAACTCTAAACAGGAGAATCAGAGGTAGATGGAGGGAAACTGTGTTCTAGTGATGGTGCTTCATTTTCACTTGAACTAATCTTGAGTTTAAAATAAAAACATATAGCTTTGTGTTTTTCACACGGTATCATATATGCATCTTATAAATAGACACAAAATATAAAACATAAGGAAGAACAAAAAAACAAAACAAAAGTTAGAATAAACCAACAAAGAAAAAATGTTTGACGTAAGAAAAAGCAGAATTATGAAGCACATTTTATCTGCTTTTTGTTGTGATTTTTTTTTTCATGTTTCCAAATGATAATTCGTAGACTTTATTTATTTGAAGCTCTTTTATCAAATATATATTATTAGAAGTCAATAAAATAATAAACACTTTCCCCAATTCATTTGTGATTTTTATTTAGAGAATTATCCAATATCCTTAAATTCTCTTATTATTTATATCTTTAAAGGATTTAAATCTAAGGTAGTTTTTAATTGCTCCAAAGGTTAGGATAATGGCATGGAGGCCTCCTAGCCTCAAAGATTTAAAGCTCATCGCCCAAATAAAATCATCAACAAACATGCATTTTTTGATTAACCATATTCCAAATTTTTTTTTCTCAAAATTGATGCTCCTTTTTACTTTGTTTCATTAGTTGTTGAAATATTTTAGTACTGGTTCTTATCAGAAACAGATTTCTTGTTGGTATGTGATTAAATCTGCGGTTTTAGCCTCAATAGCAGAAAAAGTAAAAAGAGAAGCTTAAATCAAAGATAGCGAGAATGGACACAAAACAGAAAAAAGGGATAAAAGTCTTTTCCCCAGCAGCTTAGGCTCCATGAATAGGTATGAGCAGAAGTGCATCAGAGCAAAAGTTAATTAGACGCGTGAGTCTATTTCCAGCTATGCCTCAAGTCTTTACCATCCTATTAATCTGACTTGTTTTCTTCAGTCGCACTTTCTGGAATGTCTGCATTTCTCTTTCTGTGCCTTTTTGCTGCCGGCTAGGTTGAACATTCCAATAAATGTAAAAAAAAAAAAAAAAACAGGAGCTGGACTGTTGGCTATCATATTTGATGTTTTTTAGTTGAGAAATGAGCAGGTCGGATGTTCTCTGTCAGATGTCCAGTCTGTTCTTTGTCCCTCAGGTTTCACACACAGTCCTCTTCACGGCTCGCTGAAGACTTTTGTTCAAGAGTTGTGTTCAAGTTAAAGCTTAAGTTGCTGCTGACCTTCTGGGCTTTAGAATCTAAAGAGTAATTCCTGACATTTCTTCACATTAATTCTGCCTTAAGATTTTCCAATTTGTCTCGCCCAAATAATCAAGAGTTATTTATCTGACTCTCCTTAAAGAATGGAGATGTAAACATCCTCAATTAACGGCAGTCTTTTAAGTTGTGTTCCACACTTTTTTTCACTCTACTTTCCCTTCTTCATAAGTCAAATCTGCTTAGTAATGAGATAAATGTTTTTGAAATGTGAGTTTCGTTTTATTAGTCACGAACAAGCCAGGAGCTAGCCTCCACACCGTGAAAAACACATCCAGAGAAACTATTGCATCTTGTTTCATCACCGTCATCACCATCATCTTCGTCAGGAGTGAGCGGGTGAAAAGGCTAGGCTGGTGAATGGAGAGAGGAGCAAAGCGAGCAGCGGTGTCAAGATTGTAATTTTTTTTTTGTTCTATTTTGAAATTGATTGTAAAATAATGCTTTCAAAACATATTGGTCAATTATTCAGAAATCTGCTTTTGTATCAGACTCTGATGGACGGGAAGAACGAACTGAAACACTCACAGTTTTTAAATGAAAGAAAGACAGGAAAAACTCCCCTGGATTTAAATACCTTCCAGGTAGCTAAGTATTTGGAAGGAGAGCAAATAAAATATATGATTTAAGATGAAGGTACAGAATGGTCCGAGGAGAAGCAATGTAGGTTTACTGTGAACTGAAAGGAAGCTGAAGGCCCAAAGCAGGGATCTTTAAAAGAAAGTTTACTGATATAATAAATGCAAATTAACAGAAGAAACTTTAATAGATGTTCACTATAGAACAACATAATATAAATTTTTTTAGTTAATCATTTACTATTAAATGTTCATTCCATTTAAATTGTCCCAAAATATTAAATTCAACGGAAGTTCAATTTATAAGTCCTTGAAAGCTCAATGAGCTGAAATAACTTTGCTTTGACAAAAAGTGCCGCCCAAAACTCAGTAATAAATATTTCTATCTGTGAGAAGTCTTATTAATTGAACGCTGTGTTCCTAAAGAACATAAAGCCCCTAAAATGTGTTTTTATTATAAGATCTGAAATGAGAACCATCTCTAACTGCAGGAATGGTCCACCTTCTGATGTCAGTGAGGTGGTACAGGTCTCATTAGGGCTGCTAGGTTTATGCAGTGGTTCTGCCAGCACTTAGTTTATAAGAGGTGCAAATTGAACATCTGCAGCCACATTCTCTTCACATGCCTCACTTCTGCTCAGTGGGTAAAAACTGCAGGAGAAAACTCCTGTTATCTGCTGTGGACTTCCTTTATGCAGTCCCAGTGGGAGGCATTTGTTTTAAGCCAGGTTCTACAACCGATCCTGATACTCTTCCAACTATTGCAACAAAATTCAGAATTGATTAAGTGTTTACAGATAAATGTTCCCAATTGAGCAACTTCAGAAGCTAAATACAAATTACACTCCCAGGATATTTTTAATCCCCATTTTGCTTTTACCATTGATTGCATTAGTTTGGCTTGGAGTAAAAGATTCGCAGTCAAACCCATACGTATTCATGCACCTGGAATATTTAAGCTAAAAACTATTTGCTTTCAGCCATGACGTTTGTTTCAGAAATAATGAGAGGTCGGACAAAAAATGTAAAAAGTAATGTCAAAGGAGTATGGGTAAAAAATAAAAAAAAATAAAAAAAGAAAGAACAAGATTAATTCCAACATAAATCTGTCAACTGTGCATGCATGATTATAAATCTTAGAAAGACATCAGAACAGACAGCATGTCTGGTGTGAATTCTAGATGGTCTCTAAATCATATTTTATTCCAGGTATTACGGGGACTTCTGTCACTCAGATTTACATATTGTCTCTAAACGGCACGTTAATGTTAATTTAACACTATAAATGAGGAAGACAACCCCTGTGTGACCCCAGCTGTTTGTGAACCATAAACCTACGCATTGTTATATTTTCATAAAAATGTACCTACAGATAATGTTATTGTACTGAAATAAAAACAAAGAATAAACATAATGATAATAACAATAAGTGTTATTATTATTAGTATTATTATATTTGTATTATTATGAAAATAAATAATAACAATGACATTTAACTATAAAATGTGGAATAATATGGAAATTAATTTTATAGATATATATACATTTCAGCAAAGATCGCAGGATTTGGTTTTCTCATGTTAATGCACCACATCTGTATCACACTCCTCAGTGTTGCAATTTATTTATGGTACTTTATTTGTTTCCTCATTTTAATCCCTCTTTTGTCTCAGTTAAATTGACTGCCCAGCTGTTTGTGAACCATAAACAGATGTGAGGGATTGCTTTGCAGTCAATGATTCAATGCAATCAGCTGGTTTTCCTTAGATAGAAAACTTTAAACCGATCTGAATGTATGATCTGGTTGAATTGTCTCTATAAAGTGCCTTGAGATGGCAGGTATTGTGAATTGCTGCTATATAAATAAATTGAATTGAACTGAACTTACCTCTATGGGAGGTAAATTATAGTGTTGGGAAATATATTCATCATGGTTGGGGCTCAACTACTTCTCCTCTTCTTTATTGCAGCCGTTTTCAACATTTTAATATTGAGAAGTTTTTTTGGAAATAAAGCGAAACAAACTGACAAAGACTGTAATATTGTTCATTTCCAGGTGAGGGCACCAAACATTATTTGTCTGAAACAATGTCACATTGTTGTAGTTTCTCTGTTTAATGTACTAATGCTATCTAGCATTCACACCTTCCTTTCCTTGTGTGAAGGAATGTTCTGCTGTTATCACTGAGCTCTGCTCCAGCTCCTTTAAATCCATATCAATGGCCACAGCATTTAAACTGTGAAAAGGGTGAGGGAGAACTCTTCATTGTACTACAAGTTTTGGTCCTCGCTGTCTAAAAAATTAAAAAGCTGAAGGGTAAACTTTAGAAGAGATAGTGTGTAGGGTCACATAAAGGCCCACCTAAAGCACTGGTTACTGTTTTAGTATTATGGTCTCAGAAGAGGCATTTAGCTTTCATTTATCTGTGCTGTAATTGCTCAGAAACTCTGCTTTTAAAATTTCAAATTTTGTCTAATTTTATCTAACTGACAGTGAAACTTTTTATAATCTTAAAAAAAGTATTTTTTTCTTTGACTGCTGCAGTAAGCTCTACTCTGTGTCCAGTTCCCACTTTAAATCCCAGTGAATTATACTGTTTCCTTTCATTATAATCAGACAAAGTATTAAAATAAGTGTTGGTGGATTTATAAAAGGCATAACTTTATATATTTAAATCAATATTGACACAGATCCAGCCTAAGTTGTTCTCACCGATGTAATAGCAGAAGTTTCTTTTGAGACGGTCGAAAACGAACCAGCGTTTCTTCCAGGATTTGATTTTTCCTCCCATCTTCACCAGGTGGCCTTTGCACATTTTCTCGGTGAGGATGACGAAGGGGCAGGTGTCTATGCAGTGGCCACACGACTCCACATGGGCCCGAAGGTCAAACTCCTCCTTCCGGTTTGGCAGGTAGCGGGTCATTGGACGAGCCTGTGAGAGAAGAGCCGCATGGTGTTTATGTTTCCTGCTAAACTAGTTTTATCTATGTTTATTTAAAGACAGATTTACTGACAGAATATTTCTCAGACTTAGATTTAGCTGAGGGTTTAATCTCACATTGCTGCCTATTACTGATTGAAGGCAGTAAATCGCCTCCTGGCTAGTATGGCCACAGCCCAGGGCTCTGAACACCATAATATTGAGTAAAATCATTATCTCCCATTTAAAGGGAATTTAATTAACAGATATGCATTTCAAAACTGTTTTGAATAATAAATTAAGCTCCATGAGTTATTTTTTGTACTTTAAACAGATACAGTCAGACTGTCTGGATCACTCCTGCTTTTCCTCTCTCTGATTGCGTGCTGTGGTTGTGAATCTCTTTAGCTGCAGGAAACAGCCATCTCGTAATTAAACAACAAATCAATGTCTTTTCTCCCATCCTAGAGGAATAAGGAAACACAGCTAGATCAATCTTTAGTACAGATGTAGCTGTGTGAAGTTAATGCAGGACCAAAAGAGAGCAATCCCTGAAAGCTCACTGAAACCCACTAAAGGAATGTTTAAGAACCAACCGTCCTATTACAGTATGAGCTATGTGACAATTATGATATGACCAGAGTATAATTATAAGTGCCTTTCCTATAAATAAACATTTTCTATAAATAAACATTTAATAAACCCTTTATTAATAAGTGTGTGATCCCTAATATAGGAGTTTTTGAGACATCTACATTATTTATTTTCTTGAAAAGCAGAAGCACTATAACAAGACCAATGTAGTAAACAGAAAATGCATAATAAATTGCATGGAAATACTTTTGTATCACAAATGATCCAAAACAAAAACAACATTTTTTAATGTGTTACTAGACTAGTGTTAAAAATCTGTAAATCTGCAGTACAAATCAGATGTGGGTAGAACTATGGAAAAACAATTGTATTAATAAAAAAATAACTAAAACATTTGGTATACCTTCACTTATGTTAACAATCTGTTTTGAATATTTTTGTATTTTACTCTTTAAAACATCAACATTTGTAAATATCTTCATATATTTCTGTTTTCTTACATTAATCAGATATAATTAGTTACTAAGTACTTTTGCAGCAGAATATTTTTTTCTTTGACTTGATATACTTTTAGGGAATAATCCCTATTAGCCTTTCCTTTTTCTTTTGTCTTTCCAGTTTAACAGAGTAGCGAGGAGAAATTGGCCAACAGGGCTTCACATCGTATTATTAAAAACATTTATTAAGTTTAAAAAATTGTTTAAAAAATTACTGACATAAATCTAGTTTTTTTATTTTTGTCAAAGCAATACATGAGATCAAGGCAACATTTCGGCATTAAGATGTGTAACTATGATAAAAAACTGGTTTAATGGGCCTTTGCTCATTTAAGTTGAAGGGGATGAAGTGGAGATAATGATGACAGCAGATTATGTTTGATTTCGATATATTTCAACACTGAGAGCTGCTGGTAAAAACAATCCTGATTAAAGCCTTATATCACTGATATGTATACATATTTCCAACACCATATCCTCCTTTTTTCTTTTTGTTTCCACTATCTCTCCCCCCACCCCGCCGTCCTCCTCCTTGCTTTGACAATCTTTGATCTTCTTTTGCACCAAGCCTCCCTTTATTGCCTCTCCTCTCATCCTCCCCCCTCAAGCATCCCCTTACCCCTCTCTTCTCACTCTTCTTCTCCTCCCGCCGCTAAACTGACCTGGGAGAAGTGCTTCTCTCTCATCTTCACCTCCTCCTCCACTAGTCTCCGCCTGTGGGCCGACTCATCTTGAAGCCTCCTCTCAGCCTCCTCCCGCCTCCTCCGCTCCTCCTCCAGCATCTGCCGCCGAGCCTGCACCTCCCTCTCCTGGGAGCGTCGGGACAGAAGAGAGTGCGGAGAGAGCAGACCAAGAGGGAAAAACAACAAGAGCGAGACGGGAATATATGTTAATGGCAGGCAAATATTGCAATACAAAGAAGACGAGTGTCAGAGGATGCACCTGGGAATTCAAGTCCCAATCCAGGGTTTTGTAAAATCTATCCCTTTAGTCTATGTGTGGAAAAGGGGAAGCTTTGCTGATGTAAAATGATCCTTTGCAGCTTTCAGATACTTACACACAGGTCTGCTTTATTTCAGCATAAAAAAAATTTGTTAAAAATAAAACACCGTCTAACTTTTTTTCTGAGAAAATCTTCTGCCCCTTTGACATCTTGGTTGCATTTGAATCTATTGAGGATGTCAAGCTGAAGATTTTCTTTAAAACATTTTGAGGTCACATTTTGGTTACTCTTGAAATGAAATACTTTGGCATTTTTGGCAAAAAAAAAAGTTTAAAGATTATTTTAGTTTTGTCCTTAATAAGTTATACGTATAATCAGGCTCTAAATTAGGGGTTCCAAGGAATTTCAACCTGTGATGTTAAAGATTATGCCGGCAGCCCCCCGAAAATACATAATCACCTAATTATTTTACCCTGAGTTTAATTATACACATATAGTGAAGTAATTGTATTCATTTTAAAATAGATGGTTTTGATTATTTAATTTACTTACATTTTGCAAGTTTTTATTATAATACATAACAAAATACTTTTATACCCTGTTTGTAAAAACAAGCGCTAGCGCATGTCATTCACCCCTGCTGCCACCAGACTCTACAATGCAATACTACAGTGGCAATAACTAAATGCAATATTACTAAGCTGTTTTTTTATATTTGATACCCAGTGCGATACATATATATATATATATATATATATATATATATATATATATATATATATAAAAAACACAGTAGTAGCCATTCAAAATTTCCCCACTTTCCTTTAAGGGTCCTTGGTTGGTCCCCTACAAATCCTTTTTAAACATCAATCTTTATATTAAAATATGCTTTCTGTAATGAAATATAGACATTAAGATCTAAAATAAAGCGTCATCTCCTGATCTGACCCTGTAATTCAGTAAAAGAATGGAATCAGAGTAAAAATCAGAGTAAAAAAATGCACACACAGAAGAAGGGAATTGGCTGGAAGCTGGAGGAGTTTTTGCTGAAAGTCGCAGGGGAGTGGACTGCCATTCAGCTGGCGTTTGACTGGGAAGGGCCACTCTGAATGGCTGCTACTGTATATATATGTGGACACACTGTACATACTGTATATACCCCATGCACCTTTTCCTCCTTTTGGCACCTTCTTCTTCTTTTTGACTATTGAGCAGATGTAACAGGTAAAGGTATCCTATGTGATATCAATAAAGTCAATAAATCAATCAAACGTTTATTTCATTGGTGTCTGGGTACCACCCAGTGGGTCCTGTCCCCCACATTAGGAAACCCTGCTCTAAATGTTTCTATGTAATGAGAACATGACTGATGTTTTTTTTTATTTTTGTAAAAATTGCTTTTTTATCAGTATTTTCACTGAGACCTTGCAAATTTTCTCCTTTGCACAAATATTAACATCTTTGTCAAAAAATAATGTTTTTAAAAATTCTCAATCTAATATTAAATCTGGTTCAAAACCAGAAGTTTCCCAAAGATTATGTTCTGATTATAAAAATCTCTTTGCATATTTTTTTTGCTTCAAACGTATATGAAATGATGGGACACCAACATGAAGTCTTTTTTTCCATGTGAAAACCCTCTGGCTGTAGTGTTGGGAACTCACTCTGTTCTCAATCAGTCGTGCTTTCTCCTGCTGTGCCTCCCTCAGCATCTTCTCCATCTCCTCTATCCTCTGGGCCTCTAACCCACAGGCGCTACAAGTCACACAGGAGAAGCTTGCATTGATTACACGGATATGACAAGGCTTTGGATGAGAAGGGGGGGATAAAAGGTAAACAAACATGTCTTGAATAAGAACAGCAGGAGAGAGTAAAGGTGTGGACGCCTTATTAAAACCGGTGGAAACTTAAGTTTGAAAACTTGAATGGGTTTGGCATGGCAACAGCCAGTACGTCACGTGGGTGAGGCGTGTAACAAAGCCCCCTGTGACAGGAACAAAGCCTAGTGACCTTTTCTTCAAACAGAGGGGGCAGACTTGGATGTTCCCATGGAAACAGGGCAGTCTCTCACCTTTCTGGGGTACAGGCGGAGTTTCCAGTGGAGACACTGGTCTCCAAGCTGTCTGAGCTTTCAAGGCTCAGGGTGTCGTACGCCTGGTTGCCGCTCGGCGGCGGCTGGTGGTGCAGGATGGAGTGGTGGACAGTTGGAGATGGGTCTGTGGGGACAGATGGAGAACAGGCTTAGTTATGGCGAGCCTATAGCGCCCTCTGCTGACTGGAAACACCCAAACAAATTCTTATTCCCTCATTTGTGGGGAAATCTATCTGCACACTGTAGTTTAAGTTTGACAATATATGAAATTTAATTCATTTTATTTTGTGTACACATAAAGATTTCGATCAATGCATATATTTATTTTTTATTCATTTATGAATGTCTTTAGTTCAAACCCTGCCTTTTGCGTACACATATGGAAAATAATAATTGCTTCAAATGATAACAAGTGAATCAGGTTGATCACACTTACTTTATTAAGTTTATAAATTGAAAACTTGAATGAATAAAGTCAAGCAAACTGGCTTGAATTACTTGTTATCAATTGGAGGAATTCATTTGTTGCAGCTAAATGTTCCTTTTAGAGTGTGGAGCATGGATGTTCTCCTTGCACATGTATGTTTTTTCTCTGAGTACTCCAAACTGTTGGGCTATTTGATCATTCTTAATTGTGATTTTAAGAAAGAGTGTGTGAGTGAATGGTTGTTTGCCTTGTGATGGATTGTTGACCCATGATGGGGGCGGATGGATTGAAGGACATTATATTCATTAAATTTATTTGTGATCTTAGTTATAACAGTTTGATTCCTGGCTTCACTCAGGTACTTTCTTCCTGTTCTATCTCCTCATAATTAACCCAATTTTATGTCCTCATTGCTTCCATTTTCATGTTTCTGTGCTTTTTTCTTATCTTGTTATCATTGTTTGGTTTTATCCTATAGCATGCCCTATTTGAGGCCCTATTTGTATCTAAAACTGTTAAGGTTCTCCCCTTTTTGGAGTTTTTGGTTTTCAGTTATCAGTTATTCTGTTTTGTTGATCTTTGATTTATTTTCCATTGTATGTATGTTTAAGCATTCTCTGTTGCCCCTTGTACCAGCCTCCTTTCCCCTAGCTCCCTTCTGGTCTCTTCCATCCACACCTGCTCCATATCTGCTGATTAGCCTGGTCTTTGTTCATTCTCCCATTTATACACTTAATGTTCATTCAATGGTTGCTGGTCTGTTGGTGATTATTATTTGCTTCCTCCTCTCTGGATTTCCATGTGAGTTCTGCCTGATGTTTGCTGATTTTTTGGTTGTCAGTATTTTTGTGTTTTGGATGTTCGTCTCAGTTTTTTCATTAAATCTACAAGAACTTATATAGATCTCACTCATCTTTGCTTATGGGTCCTCAAGCAACCAACCCCCGTCCCTTGTTGACAAAAACATATTTTACAACTAACAACTGACTAAATGATTGATTTAATTTTGAGTGTGCACTGGTGATATACTGTTTATAACAAACCACCTAAATCACTTAACAGATTAAGTGAATAGAAGTCATGATCTCATTACAATCTTCTAGGTAAATGCTTTGCTTTTATGTATTGAATGTACTTTGATCCAAACTCCCACAGAGATGCTGCGTTCACGCCCTGACATCATTTCATAGCAGCATAAAGAGGCCCTCCACCAATTCAAGCAGCTGGTTGTAATGTTCTGGCTGATAAATCTAATTTCTTTTCAACCTGAGCATTCCAGCTTATATGCTAACAGTGTAACGTATGAATGCAATAGAGCTGACACAGCCCCATACTTTTGCCCTGCAGGTGGTTGTAATGTTCTGGTTAATGAATCTATAGTTCTTTGACACTTGCATTCCTATCTAACCATAAACTGTTTGTTTCATGCTTGCATTTGGAGAACGCAGTCACATACCTTTGCAGTGCAGAGATGTTTGCTTCCTGGAATCCATGTCTAACGGGTTTTTCTCTCTCAGCATCAACTGTAAGCACCATGAAAGACAGAAGAAAGTGTCATGCTGTGAACAACTGTCAAGTCTCGATGAGCGTTTAAAAGCATGAAACTGACCATTGAGGGGGCATTTCTATCATGCATAATGCCACTGGAGAGAGACAGAAGTGCAGCGCTGCAGACAGCAGTCGATGGCCCCTGTCCAACCTCTCCATCTGATTTTGACTTTAACATCTTGAAGGAAAAGAAAAACAAAGGTTTAATGATCAGTTTTTGTCCACTTCTTGGTTTTATTGTGTGTTTTTATTTTCATTTCTTTACTATGTAAATCATACTTTTGTTGGAGCACATAGAGGTCTATACTTACCCTTACAATAAATGTTAAGAAGTAGTGATAGGCTTGCCTCACATTTTAACCACTAAAGGGCATCCTATATCTCTAACCTTTTTAACAATGTTGGCAAATATTGAGTTTCCTTAGGGTCACCAGGGTAACAAAGATTGTAAAGCATTAATGACGTAGGAGTCAGATTGTCTAAGTTTTGTATGAATGTAACAAGTAACACATTCAAAGTCAAGTTTAAATCAGTTTAAAAAGTTTAATAAATTAAAAATAAGGTTTTTTTCCCACTTCTACTCGACAGTTTATTGAAGAATTTAAACTAAGCTTCCCTAAAGTCAGAGCTGCAAGATTTTAACTGGCTTTAATGTAATCTGATTATATGTGAAATTGTTTTAATTTATCAAGCTTTCACATAAATAGGGTTTAGTTTGTGAGACAAACAATTGTTGGCTACTGAGCATCAAATGGGTTATTTCAAAAAATGTTGAAGCTTCTTTTAAATATAAATGATTCATTTACCTGCAGTTAATGTCAATTGATCTTCACTTTAGTACAAGTCTAGATCACTTGATACCTAAAAAATTTTACTAATAGCTAACCTGAAAGGTACTAAGTGGAGGTACTAAGTGTGCCAATTAATAATAATTGAACTTTATTGATCTCACATTTGAAATATTCATTCTCTGCATTTAACCCATTCCCTTGGGGAGCAGTGGGCTGCCATCATGGGGCGACCAGGGAGCAGTTTGGGGTTAAGAGTTCTGCCCAGAGACCTAGGGTGGCAGTCTATGGGAGTGGGGCTCGAACTCAGAGCCTCAGGATTCCAAGGACTATTCCATAACCACTAGGCCACAACTGCCCAATAACATACTTCAAGAGCAAGACCACATTTTATCAACACCAGGACTGTGAATTGATTGTCTTTATTGATCTTACAGTGTAGAAATTTACTTATTACATCAGCTCAAATGGTGACATGAGAAGAAGAAGGTGCCAAAGGAAGAAAAAAGTGGATAGGATATATACAGTATACACAGTACGTCCACATAGCTTCTTTTTTTCCCCCACAGACTGCCACTCAGGGTCCTTGAGCAAGAACCCCAGACTGCTCCCTGGTGCTGCACAGTGAAAGCCAAAAAAAAAAAAAATTGCGGATTGGTCACCTAGTGGTTAGTGCATAGAGCTTGGAATGCTGAAGTTCTGAGTTCGAGCCCCATAGATGCCACTCAGGCTCCTTGAGCCAGACCCTTAACAACAGACTGCTCTTTGGGCAACACACAATGGCTGGCAGCCCAAACAAAAAAACTATAAAAAAAAAAAAAAGCATACCAGTATCATTCATCCTCAAGATTGTCATCACAAAATTTCTGTTGCTTCTATAGATGTTAATGAAGACCTTGTTGCCACCTTTGTATTAATCTAACTTTTAGCCTACGTGTGCTAACTAGTGTGTTGAGGGTTATAACATTTTTATTTGGGGGTTTTGTCACAATATTATGATAAAACCCAAACTTTTTGTAAACAGACTTTTAAATAGACAAAACAAGTCAAATAACCCTCACTAAAATAACATGTCTTTGATTATGGCTACCGTGCCAGGTATGAAGTTGTGACTGAACAGGAAATTTCCTTCAGTGACAGACTGCTGCACCCTAAATGCAACAAAGAGAGTCATAACAGATCCTTCCTCCCAGCAGCAGGAAGACTTTATAACCACCACTGTCCCAACAACCTCAATAAGTTGTTACATTCATGCTGATTTTGCACAGTTTATGTCTTAGTCAGTGAAATAACATGCTGCTGTTATTTTTGCACATCTCTGGTGTTGCTGCTATTTTAACATATTCATTACTGTAAAAATGTCCACAGCTGTGTACTGATTATTTATTCTCCAGATGCCCATAATCTATATTTGTTAAAACATATATATATATTTTAACTCTGTTACTTATTCTGCTATTTTTATACACTTTTTAAGTCCACATGCTGTAATGCTGTTGTAACACCACAATTTCCCCCTTGTGAGACAATAAAAGGAGTTTCTATTATATTCTAAATAAGCTGATAAAAATTGTAACCATACAACTCTGAAGGCCATTTTGCAACATGTCAGCTTGCCTTATCTCCGCGCAGAGGGAGCGGAGTGGACAGTTAGGTGGCAGACTTGTCCTATTTAGCATTTTTCTATCTGTTGCATAGTCAAAAAACATCCATGTAGTTACCGTGGAAAATTATTCTCCCTCTTTTTCAGAACTCAGAGCAAAGCTTTAAGCAGACTTGTTTCGGGTCGCCTGTTGGCTTCAGTTTCTACACAGCGTTCTCAAAAATGTACTGCCTTTAAATTTTGAGAGACGTCCTTCTAATAATCATATCCACACATCTAAAAAGATCAACTACAGTGTTTCTAAGCAGTATTTATTTGGACCATAACTTAATAATCCAATCTAACTTTATTGATATTGCACTAAAAAAAAAAAAAACAGGACCGAAGTACTGCATAAAATGAATAAAAGCAATATAAAGATAAGTAAAAATAATAAAGAAAATAAAAGAGAAAATTAACCACCAACATCCTTTGGAGAATTAAACGCCAGAGAGATTTATAATCCTAGACCTAGAGAGCTGCAATATTCCTAAGAGCAAATAGGGGGGCGGTCCCATTTAGTGAGTAAGTGAATTTACCTGCCCATGTCTGCGTGTGGAAAAAGACTTTGCAGGCAGTGGTGGAGGACATGACTGAGGCTCTCCAGCAGCCATGATGTCTTGGTACCAGCGCTCAAGATTAATGGGAGGCATTGCATTCCTGCTCAGCTCAGCATGGTTCTGTTGTGATCACAAGCATCCAGCCAAGGACAAAAAAAAGCATACCAAAGTGCAACAGCTTGAAATAAAAAAAAAAAGATATCTGGACAACATTCATTTGAAGCAGTAATAGTTACAAGAATTCAGTGAATGACTGAAATTCTGCAAAGAACAACAGTGAGCAGCAATACACGTGAAATATGCTTCTATAAGAGACAAACCTGAGCAGAAAGAAAGGAGGAAGAACCACATGCAGTTGAGTGGCACGTGAAGGAAGATTCAGAAGAGGCAAGAGGGAATGATGGAGTAGAGGTGGAAGAGGAGGGCTTACATCTCTGCATCCCAAAGATCTGGCTTAACTGACTCACTGTGATGTAGTCCTTTGCACAGATGCAGAGAAAAACAACATACATTTTTAAAAAAGAAAGGGGAGCAGAGTGTAGAGAAAACAATGTTAGAAGGTGCATCTATTCAAACATTTAGATCTTAGTTATTGAGCAGTCATCATAGCAAAGTGCAGAAAGCCAGTCTACCTCACATTGCAGAGTTGGAGACACAGTTAGGGAGAGGCAGTGGAGAGCAGCGGGGGAGGAGGAGTAAGGCTGCTTATAAGCATCTTCATACATCCGATAGACATCAGACAGCCTGAGGTACTCCTGCATGAACAGCCACAGCATAGGCACAAACAAGTTGAGGACAGCCCCTCCTGGCAAACAATTATTTCATAAAACATAACTAACAATTATGCACCTGGCTTCTATTTATTTTAAATCACAGCACCACAGAAATATATTCATAACCTTCCAACTTTTTTCTCATTTTTTTTACCTTAAAATCCAAATTTAATTGATTTTTTTTACATTTCTTTCTTTGTTTGTTTCTTTCTTTCTTTATATAATAGTTTAAATAATTACGCTTAACACAATATAATTATATCCTTATGCACCACAAACGAGCTAGAAGAGGATAACCCTGTAACACCTGCCCCTGTCTGTACAAACATTTTGTTTTATACCAACAAGATCCAAAGTGCACCAAATAATTCACATAGAGGAAAATAGAATAAATGTCAACTGATCAAAACATGGTTTAAAATCAAACCAAGATCTGCATTCCTCCTCTTCTAATTCTAATAGCATTTGTAATGTTTCTGGTAAATATTAATTTTTTGCTGTATGCATTATTATCCAAAGATCAAAATAATCCATTATTTAACAAACAAAACAAAACAAAACAAGAATTATTTGCCCCAAAGAGATAAGAACATGGAAAACAGGGCCTGGGAAGTGTCAACAGGTATAGTCAAAAATCTGTTGCAAATCTCTGCTCAAGCTTTCCTAAACTGTGTGCTCAGTTCTATAATCTGTGCCCTTAGTTCGTGGATATTTGGGGAGAATTTGGATGCATTGCCCATACCTGCTATTAATTTACAGGGATTTGTTGACATATACATACATATACATGTATATGTTTGTGCACATTTTAAAAACCTGTGCACAGAGATTGCAAAGCTGAGTTTAATAAAGATTTTTACAGATTTTCAACAACTTTGTTTTTTTTTCACACTCTGGCACTTGCACTATTCTGTAGAAAACAAGTTGAAGGTTATGAATACTTTTCCAAGGCACTGCAAACCATCACAAAAACATTTTAAGACTAAATTCCAAGATCCAAGAAAGTCAAACCCCCACCACACACTGCAGGCCAGTTAAAATGTGTAACCTGCGCTAAAGCACAACATGCCTAAGGTTACTGAGATTTCTTTCAAACTGGAATTTCCTCAGTTACCTCTTGCAGCCTGACAGGACAGAGCTCAGGGGAGGGGTTGTGAGAAGAGGAGGGACAGGGGCTATGAGGAGGAGCATCCACATAAACAAGGTCAGGTTCGCTGATGTGAAGCGATTCCTGTTCAAAAAGTTTACCTGAGTGAAAAAAATAATCCAACTGGTGCAGTAGGTAATTCTTCTCCAGCTCAGGTCTGGTTTGGTGATTTTGGTGTCTGACATGTACCTGCTCACCTCTTTCATGCTGCTGCCGGACTTTGGGAAGTTTCTGCCTCCTGTCAGGGTGTGATACCTCTTCTCCAGGCTGCATAATGCGTCTTGCTCCTTGGAGGATAATCCAATAGGAAAAAACAGGTGTTAATACTTTGCCCCATGCACTCTGTCTACATGAATACACTTTAAAAAGTTAAATAGGGATGCTGTTTGCTTTATGTAACAGTTTTACAGTCAAAGTGCAACCAAAAGTTATACTTTAATGCTGAAAATATGCATTACATTTAAAAAACAACAAATGTTGAAATACCTAAATATAAGGAATTGATTTCAACATAATCCTGTTGAATAGGTGTGCATGCAAATTAATATTATCCTCAGTTGCTTCCCATATAAGAAATTAAATGAAATTGGGACATTGCTTGGTATATCTAAATCTTTAATGGTCATATTAATACTTAAAATCAAGTTTTTATGCTGAATATAGACAGGTCTTGTATTTAAATAAGAGATTGTAATTCAACAAAAGACTTGATTTTAAATTTAAAATTTATTACAACAGGATGCTTAGTGGCATTAATCGATTTAAAACATTAAAACTAAGTTTTTACTTTACCCAGGAAGGCACTTTAGACATCATTTTGGTGGTTGATAAATACAATCAATGAAAATTATTTGAAATTCACCTTTACATATTAGGCAGCAAAATAACTGATTTATAATGGGTAAAACTGCATAAAAAAATTTGAAAAAAAAAGTATGAATGAATGAATGGGAATTTATTTCAGACTATTTTTGACAAACAACAATAAAGAAAAGTAATGAATCAACCAAACACACAAAAGAGACTACTTAACATCATCCAAACCAAACATCAATTTCCAAACTAACTAAATTCACTTAAACATAAATAGAATCAAAGCCCTCCACCAAATGAACCTGTCGGTATATACAGCCAGAGAAGTTACATTGATTAATGTAATGTAAAAGTAGCCAAAGATTGTGGCCATCCTAATGAGCAAATGTGCCAGGAAGAAACTGATTTGCAGATCATTCATAACAAGAGAACCTTACAGCAAGTAAACTGTAGGTTTTTATAAATTAGTTCTTCAAATCTAATTAGGCTTTCTTATCTCCATGTTCAACAGTCAGCAATTCTAATACAGACTAGTTTTGCAGCCCTGTTGGGTAACTAACTATTGAAAAATCAGGAAAGTAAAATGGATGGGGACCTGCTAGATACTGTGCTGCCTTCCAACATAAAGATCATGGTCGATCTCTGTATGTAGCCTCTCTGCATTGAAAGTCTTCAAGTTTGAGTTGCTGCTACTTAATTTCTCTTGGTTTTTCATAGCTACTGAAATTAGCTTTTCAAATAAAATTTGAATAATTTTGCTCAACGAAACTAAGTGCAAGTTGTTTCCTTCACTTTTGGGGCACTTCTTTTTTTAAATGTTGTATCAATCGATTCTACTAATCTAGATTGTTTAACTGCAACAATTGGTCAAATTCGATCAATGAAATCCTAATAAATTCTATTAATTCAACACAAAAATATAAATTAAATTGAACTAAACTGGCATAATTAACCCGAATTAGCATCTGTTAAATTTAGCTTTATAGAATTACGTTATACAAACTTAAGTCTACTATGTTGTATTAAGTGAACTTAATCTGTTTCTCTTTAATTATTATGTTTAAAGTAGAAATATAATACTCTGCATTCAATCAACTAAGTTGAGTGGAACCAGTTAACATAACTTGGTTAAGTAATATAACATGTGAGTTTTTAGAGTCTATTTTCTATAGAAATGTATTCATAATAATTGATAGGAATGGTCATTCTGGCCTATTAATTATTTGATCTACATTTCCACCCAAAGCACTTATTTAGGAAATTTTATTATGCATTTATTTGTGCTAAATCTTGTTAAAGGGGTCATAGAATGATTATATAGGGTATTTGGTGCTGGTCCTTAAGGTCTAAATAGGGTGTGTAACATTGGTTGGGCTGAAAATTACATATTTGCTGTTCTATGAGCCCTAATGCATGCCTGGTTATAAGCCCTAGAATGAAACGACCGGTTTTCTTCCTTTTAAGGTATGCTCATGAATATTTAAATAAACTGTGCGCTGATTAGTTGGTTTACAACGAGAAAAGCTGCTGACCTAAGACACATCATAGCAACAAGAACTCACTCAATGAAACATCAAAATTGTTGATATGATAGGGTGGCAAGACGTCCTCCTTTTCCCGGACATGTTCTACTTTTCATACCTAAAAAAACATCTGGGGGAATTTCAAAATTGTCAGGGATTTTGCTCAACTACAGTGCAGCACGTAGTCGAAATACACCGGGCATTCGAATCGAGCCGTCAGGTCCGGGGCTGGTCCGGGAACCCCCAGCGGAAGGGGGCAGGGATCCAGCAGGGGAAGGAGCGACCAAACTTGACCGTAGTCTGACGGTAGTCTGGATACTGGCGGCCCCTTGCTTCCCCCCGCCTGCCTTACCGACCCCCAGCCCCCCTCCTCCGGCTGAGGTCAGGTCCAGTAAGTGGCCCAGCAGTTGACATTTCATAAAATTTCATACAATTTCAGGCCAGAACCAAATAAGGCAACATCTCTGAGTTACATCTACTCGGGGCTTCGTTTTGATTCACCCCCTTTATGGTGGAAGTTTAGAATTGTGAGATTTGCAGAGAAAGGAGGTGTTGATGGGGTTTGAACTTCTCTGTACGTCCATTTCACCCACTGAACTATTGTTATTCATCTATGATAATGTAAACTCGGTTTTGCATTTTATGACCCATTTAAGACTTATTTGCAAAGCAACGTCAGAGATTCAGTAACTTTCTGTGGGAGCTAATGTTAGCTTCCCTTAAACCCCACCTTTTGCAGAAGCTGAAGGGTTGCCATCTTGTCTTTTGTAAGTTTTTCACAATCTTGGGAAGCCTGTATCCCCAACTGCTTCACCTGAGCTTCCAGAGCAGCCATCCTTTCCTGTCAAGTCAGAAGTTTCATGAATTAGAAGATTCTCCCTGTCAAAAGTTTACATAAACTTATATTAAACCATTGTTTTACGCAAGAAGGCTTATAATACAACTTTTTTTTTTTTTTTATTATAGGTGCACAAGACACAAGACCACAATCTAATAGTTTATGATTAAATGACCCTGAACAAGTTATCACATACATTGCCCAACCATTATCAAGGCATAATCTTGACTAGAGGTTTGGTCACCCTTAAACAGAAGAGCTTAAGGTGTTGAGTTACCAGACATGGACCCAACATTTGAAGTTATATGCATTCTTGCAGCTTAGCCTTGCCTGCTTTTCTATGTGCCCTCATGTTTGGCTATCCAAGTTGAGTTGCATGTTACATCATCAATCCACACAGAAAAAATATCCAATTCCAAGCCCTAAATACTGGCATTCACTCTGATAATGACTTTATGTAAACTACTGTCTAAATGTTTTATTTTACTGCTGCGTGTGTCCCCACCTTCCTGCTGGCAACACTGCAATGATACTCTGCTCGCTTTTGGAGAAGCTGAGAAGAACAGGCTTCCTTCTTCTCCTCTAGCCGACTCTCCTCCTCCAGCTGACAGAACTCCAGCTCTTCAAACTGCTTGGTCCCACAATCCAGAGCCTCAGCTGTCTGTTCACATGTGGGTAATAATCCAAATTAGGCACTTTATTTAAAGCCAAGCAGAATTCTTAAATTCATTTTTCATAAATTATATATAATTAAAATAAAATAAGCTACAGCCTATTCTGTGTTCCCCTTTTAAAAAGATGGAATCAGGTCTCTTAGAGGATGTTGCACATGCTCAGGTTGAGCAAAAAAATGAACAAATCTGACAAATATATAAACAAAGAATCTTTCTTTAAAAAAAAATACAAATGAAATAATTTTCCATATGTTATGAGGTACAGGTTCAACTTAAAACCTATTCTTATAAATTTAATTTTATTGGGTTAATACCAGGTCAAATTTATATTTTTAAATAATGGCAGTGCTAACAGAGAGTGTTTGCACTTAAATGATCTGTTCTGATTGAAAGATAACATATTTTTAACAATGAAAATGATCTGTTCAGTGTTCATGTTCAAAAGTTTGAGCAGAAAGGGATGGTGGAAATGCAAAAACAAACGATTGAACATAGCAAAGAAAAAAAGGGGGAAAAACAACAAAAACATTCCGATAAACTGGAACTGAGTATCGAGCATAAATTTACCAAAGGGGCTTTGCTTGTTGATTAAGCTATTTCTATTAGAAAGGGTTCAGTAGCCATCACTGTAGTCGTGTTTTTGTAGACTTAGGTTGCTGGAGGACATAATGACCACTTTCCTTAACTTTATTTTCTCTCTTACTTGATTATATATTTAGCCCTGTTTCCATCAAATCTTCATGCAAATTTATTTAAATATCAGGAAAATTAATGATAATAGACACATTTCCGTCAATGGGAGCCAAATAGTCATGCAATGTAGACCAAAAGGTTATGCTTTTAGATTACGCTTGGTAATAAAAAGGAAGTAGGGGTAGCAAGCTAGCAGGGATAATAGATCAATAATAAAATTACCTTTTAGCGAATGTATTACAATCCCACATGTGACATACTGATTTGATAATGTCAGCTAGTATTAAAGATGTCACATGCCATCCAGATATGTTGATTCAAATGCTGGCATTCAGGACCGTGCCAATGGAAACAGCTGATAAGTCAAGTGAGGTAAATGTTCACTGTATCAAAAAGTATTTGACAAATGTGTTTCCATCTGCTGTTTAGCACATTTGCTCATTCCAAAAACTTGATTACTAAATTTTGTAAATTGATTGAAAATGTTCTCTATCCACCGACCTCTTCTAATGCAATACCTCAAAATGCATATAAACAGACATTGATGGAAACACATCTATGGATCCAGTTTTAACCGTGTCTCACTCAATTTTCAATAAAAGTCTGTTTATCTATATACCGTAGAACCAATTTACATCACATGCCATCTTAAGCCATTTTGCAGAGACAATTCAATCAAAACACCCAGACAGATTGGTTCAAAGTTTTCTATAAGGAAGATGAGGCGATTGCATTGAGTCACTGACTTTGCAGGATTTGCTACTCCTCGATGAGGATGTGAGAACATTCACATGCATTGTATAGTTAGGCTCAGTATGACTGGGGGTTTAAGGAGACAGAAACAGTCACACAAACTAGCTATATAGGTCCCTCTGTCTATAAAGAAACAATTCTACAGATGACCTCTGAACCGGTTCTAAGATGTCTAAGTATTATATATCTTGTCACAGTAAAAGCTGAGCTTATAGCTGTCTAGCAGAGAAACAGGATGAAATACTGGAAAACAAGTCAAACTCTATCATCTATAGAAGATGTTGCTGACAGTAACAGCCCAACTCATGCCCCTCCTGTGTCACAGCCAATAGAAATAGAATGTAGCAGAGTAAAGAGAATTGTATGGAAGTAAATCTGTGTCGCTGGGATTTGAATTAAAAATGCCACTGAAATTTAAATGTTCTATGTTTGTACTTACTGTTTCAGTGTTAAAATATATTCATAACACATTTTTGACCTAAAAAAAAATCTCTTCAAGCTAAAAATTCACATCACTATTTCAAAGTGTTTACATTTACAATACAGTTAAATTTTTCAGTGTTAAAAAATCAGCATATAAAAAAATTCAACCTTTCAAAATTCAAACTCCATATTTTCAGCCTCCTAAGATTCAACTGGCTCTATTTCACCGTCTTAAATTCGGTGTCTAAATTCAGTGTAAAAAGGGAAGGGGTCACAGACATTAGCAATGGATTGTGGCGTCCAACACCCAGTCAATCCCATTACGTTTTCTTAGTCACTCGACGTGATGCTTGTGGCGCTCATACGGAAGGAAAACCAGCATCACGGAGCCGGTCATGCAAGCTAAAGCTAACTCAACGGTGAGTTTATTACTTTCATTTTTCTGTACAAACATACAACATTTAAATTTCAGTGGCAATTTTAAATCAAATCCCAACGACACAGATTTACTTCCATAGAATTGGTCTCAATGTCCTCCAACAAACCAAAGCTTATAGCAGTATTACTATAGAGATAGATCAGGGTAATCTGGGCAACTTAAACTATAAAGGGAAGTTTTCAGTCTAACCTTAAAAGTAGAAACAGTATCTGCCTCACTGACCAAAACTGGTAGTTAGTAGCCTGATAACTATAAGACCTGCCTCCCATTCTGCTTTTAGAAATTTAAGGAACTTCTAGTTAACCTGCAGACTAATTGCTCTGTTGTTGTGCAATCACATCAAAGGGATTTCTAGCATTCGAAGCCATCACTTTAGATGTTTTCCCTATATATATGCAAAGCAATGTGATAGGCACAATCCTGGTAATTACAGTGTAGCTACAAATAAGTGACACCTGCGATGGATGCACAGTGACGTTTGATGGAGTTGGAAAAGTCTGAACTGTTGTGTCTTGTCACATCACGACAACAATCACAAACTGGATGTGACTGTGATGTAGGATGAAGGAATGCATCAGATGCTAAGCTTTTTTCAATCAAAATAGAAGATAGAAAAACCAATGTTAACATAGGATGAAGTTAGATGTTAGTGGGTAAATTTTAAAATACGGTATCCACTTTAACTTAGCCCTTAAAAGGACTGCTAAATCATTCATTGTTTGTTCCTCTCTTTTAGACAACCAGCTGCCGCTGCTCAGTGTCTTGATCCAATCTACTGGAAATGTGGCGACGTTGTCGCCGGAATCACGACGTGAAGACATCATTACAAACAAAACGAACAACCAGATTTATGATGTAAGATGGAGCTTGATCATTTTAAGTCTGTTATAGATTTAACTCTACTAAAGTGCCTCTACTCCCGGTAATTCTTTACTTTTTCTTTAACAAAGACAGAACTTGTGAATATTTGCTTCTGTGTGTATTTTTTCATGTGGATCACTTCCAGTCTTTGTAGCTGGGCACTCACACTAAGCTTGGTTCTACTGAATTTTTTTCATTTCCACTATTGCCACATGCATGTTCAGTTTGATAAATATTTAGCAAAGTCTGAAGCTTCTCAATATTGAGTCTGCCATAAAAGTAATATATTAACCAACTAGTATAATAATATTAACCTACGCTAAGTAATTTATACAAAGTATTTAAATGTGATCTCACTTGAGAATTATAGAAATGAAAGTCAATAACTGCTAAAATTAAATATTTCGGATTTAAATCATAATTGCCAGACAGTTCAGCTGTTAAAAAAGTATTATGATTATTAAACACAAAATCTCAATTAATATCCTCTTAAGAACTGATTCCACAGGTTTCCAGGCATGAAACCAATAAATCTGATAATGACCTCATTGATTAAAGTTTTTGTCAGTAAAAGCATGCATTCATTTTAAAGCAAAGCTGTTAATACCTTAGTGCTTGTTACTAAATACTACAGATGTCAATGAAACCATAGAACTAAAGGTTATGCTGCAAACACATCAATGGCTGTTTAAAAGACAAACTGACCATCTTTGATATATATATAGCCCAAAAATTCATGTAATAGGGATCACAAAATCTACAATTGCCGAATAAGACAAATCTGTGTGTGGTTTGTTCTTTGTGTTTTCTGTTTCAAAAAAAAAAAAAAAGTAAAACGCTGATTATTTTATTTTTTTTAATCTTTTTTAATTAAAGTAGAAAAACAAAGATTCCAAAAAATAAAGGCTGCCTTTTTCTTATTAAAATGGTCATATTAAAGATGTGCTTCATATTTTGATAGTGTACCACTCCAGAACTTCTACTAGAACCAAAAAATCATGGTCTAAAACATCTGGTGTTTTAGAGTTTCTATAAGAACTGTCACTACTCGATCAGTCCCGGAAACATAATCCATACCATCAGCTCATTTGCGCATGCGCAACCAGATATACATCCGGATTTCCATAAATAATGTATTTATGGTACTAACAAATGACTTATTTCTATCCTTAACTCACTAAGGAATGCTAATACACATCTTAAAACAAATGTTTTATGACTTTTCTGAGGCAATTTTGATGCTTTTTCAATTTTCTCTGTTAAAGTGCTTGTCTGACGTCATCATCGGACATGCTCAGAGCAGTCTGGCATAATATGATTAAACCATGTTTATCTGCATTTTAGTTGTTTCTTTCTTTAGAGTACGAACTATTTACCATAAAGGAAGGAAAAATTAAAACATACAAAGACTAGATTAAAGTTTAAATCCAAAGACAAATAAGTTAGCTCCCAGAAGTAGTGTAGGATCCCATTTCAGATGCAGATTTTGGCACAGAGGACTGATAAAACAGAGAGGATATTAAGGCCTTTATTTTCTCAGGAAATATATTTTTAATCTTTAACACATTATATTTTGTTATGCTTACTATTTTTGGGGAGGGAAAAACATAATTTAGGTCTTTTTCACGAAATAAAATCAACGACGACCCGGATGTATGTCTAGATGCGCAAATGAGCTGATGGTACGAATCTTGCTTCTGGGACGGATAAGGTGGTAACAAACACTAACAGGGCAAATAATTCATTGTTGACCACTTTGTCATGTTTATCTGATTATCAGTGGACGGTAACATAGCAGCTACTTAGCATTTTCTGTCTTCACTTTGGTGTCTATACATAATAGTGGGTTTCTTCTACTGCTCTAAACCATCATAATAGAGCAGTGTGCTGCTCCATGATGACATGATCCATGATGAAGCTTTACTGATTTTACAGTGGAGTTTTCCCTCTGAAAAGGTTCTGTAATCTGTGCAGAAAAGGATTTGAGTGCAGAAATTGCCAGTGTCTTAGGAAATTTCAACAGTCTTCCAGCTGAAGCTACAAAAAACGTCCAAAACTGATTAGTATAGCCAACTTTAGTGGCTAAAATAGGCAAACACACATTTTTTTAAAAAAAATTCCTATTCAGTTATTTACCTTTCCACTTTAGTTATCATAAACAAAAATAATTTTTGTTCATTTAACCTATTGTTTCTTTTTAATGTAAAGACACAAAACTCTTCTTAAGTTGAAAGAACTTTTATTACTTTTAATTATTTCAATATTATTATTATTATTTGCAACAATATTATTATTATTACTATTTTGCAATAAGGTTTTAAAAACAAAAAAGATAAACAATTCTTTTCTTTTTGCAATCTCGTTTTGAAACAGAAAAAAAACAAAGAACAAACTGTACACGGCTTAGGATGTTTCTGAGCGCTTTAAGGTAAATACAGTGTTACAGTGATTACTTCTGTGCAGGTGGTTTGGTGCTGTAATATTCAGGATAATATAACTCACTGTTCCCAGCCAGTGGGCTGCATGAGAACACTGACCCTGCTGAGCTGCTCCTGTAACTGTTCCCTTAGAGACAAGATTGGGCACATTTCAAACTGCCTCTTCAGCTCATTGTACTCATTCCTCTGCTTTTCCAGGACCTTCCGCTCAGCCGACACATAAGCTCTGCCCTAAAAACACACAAAGACACACCCATACACACAAACACACCCACACATGCCCACGTACCAGGGAGAAAAAAAAAATCATGGGCAACTAAAAATCCATGCAGTGATGCTCTAAAGGTATAGGTTAGTAAACAGCAGTGTACTCTTTTAAGGAGATTAGGGTTAGGTTGGTAGTCAGAGCTTGCAGTGCTGTAAAGATGTTAAATTAGGAGAAAGGCTTCATTTTTGCAGCGGCTGTCTGTGACCTCTGCTGTTAACATTAGAGAAGAAAACAGGCGGTGCTTTTTGGTTTATTAGGCCATCAGCTAACATTTATAGAACCTTGCAAAAGTGAGTTCACCCCTTAAACTTTTTATACTTTTCTAATTTTGAAACAACTAACCTCAATGTTTTATGTGGATATAATGTGATACACAGGCACAAAAACAGTATTATTGATGATATATTGGTGAGGAGCACTGAGATTAATATACAGGTCTAAAGCCGGGCATACACTGCGATTTTAAGGGGCAATATTCCAGTCGTGCGAGAATCTTTCAATCGGCCCAACTTTCAGCCTGATCGTGAGTTGTGTAGTGTACAGGGGGTTACGAGGGGTGATCAGCCTCTCACGACTACCTTACGATCAGGAATCGCGAGGTCGGGAGAAAATCAAACATGTTTGATTTTCTCCCGACCGTCATGGGCAAATCTCTCAGGGCGCATGCGCAAACAAGGATTTTTCTTTTTATTCTTCCTCTCAAATGTAAACACAGCAGAGTGGCAGGGATGCAATGAGTGAAATGCAGTTCTGTCTGTAAAATTGACAGACCGTCGTAGCCAATGTTTGCTTCGCCATGTCTTTTTTTCCAAATATGTCGTCGCCTTTTCTTTTCAGGGCTTTCTACGGTGCACAAATTGCCAGGGCACAGCGTTTCACTATAGCGAGCTTAATATTACCATTCTATTTGTTTGGCTTCCAGATAGACGAGTCAGAGCAGCTCCATCTCACTGCGGATCTGAGTCCGACATGGTTTTTAGCCGTACAGTGTGAGCAGGTAGATCGCATCAGAGCGTCAGGCCAAACATGGCGATGTTAATAGTCGTTAGAGGGTTCTGATGGTTTGTTGACTCCCTTGTCAGAGTAGTTTCGTTCACATGCCTCATTAAAGTGTGAGTCAGTTGAGGGCAGATGAGAGGTTAATCTTCTGGATAATGTTCCTAAAATTGCTTAGTAGATGGTCTTTCTTGGCCAGAATATGGATGTCGTCAAATGAGTGTCCTTTTGCCTTCAAGTGTAGGTGAACCACTGAGTCTTGTCCTGAAGAGTTGGCCCCTTATGTGTTAACCCATGTGCCTGTGAAGCAGTTGCTTGGTCTCTCCCGAGTAAAGGTCTGTATACTCTTCACTACACTGAACAGAATAAACCCCGTTGTCAACCTTGTTTCTTGTTGGTTTTTAACAAAAGCCTGTCTGGGATAACCACAGTTCTTTAGGGATGTCCTAATGTGTCCCTGTTCTCTCATATTTCCTCTGTTGGTACTGGAGGTACTGGTTGGTGTGTGTGGGTTTCCTGTAAACTTCAAGCATAAGTTGTCTGTTTTCCATGATGTGAACCACTCAGTCCAGGAAGGCAAAGCTGTCATCTTCCACATCTCCCTGGGTGAACTTGATGCATCAGTCCACTGCGCTGATGTGGTAGGTGAACAAGTTGATGTTCTTGGTCTTTATTTTGACCTATGGGTCATCCAGGTATCTGAACCATTGACTGGGTTTTGTTCCCATGTATGAGTGAAGAGTTCTGCTTTCAACTTTTTCCATGTATAAGTTTGCCACTATGGGAGACACATGAAATTGACTGAATTGAAAGTATGTGGCGGTGTGGCACAAGTCCAAATGAGAACAGATTTGGTCAGTGGTCAGGTTGGTCCTATCTGGCATATTATGGTCTTGAAGTTCTTGCATCCTTACTGTGGAGTCTGCTTCTGCGGTGGGGATGCAAGTAAAAAGAGATGTGACATCATAGTAGACCAAGGTCTCAGCCGTGTCTTTTGTCGGGTCCTTTAACCTGTTAGAGAAGTCCTCTGAGTTAGCAATGTGATGTGGTCTATTGCCAACCAAAGGAGCGATGATGGAAGAGAGATATTTGTCAATGTTGTAAGTGGCAGAGTTAATGCTGCTGATGATGGGCCAGATTGGAGCTCCTTCCTGCTGTATTTCTGGGAGGCCGTAGATCTGGGGAACGGCCTCTCCTAGTTACAGCCGGTAGTATTTTGCATGTCGATCGCTTTGTCCTTTTCTAACTGCTGAAGGCAGCTGATTACCTTCTTCTTGTAGGATATTTCTTCAGTGATTCGTAGGAGTGATATGTTGTTTATGATACATCCATTTCTACCCAGAATATCACTTAGAAATATGTTTTTTAAATTATTTATATGGCTGTAATAATGGTCTTATACCAACAATGGAAAATAAGAGAAGCCACAACCAGAAAACTAAAACACTAAAACTAGTTGCTTTACAGCATGTTTGACAAGCTTCTGTTTGTCAAGAAATACAAAGAACAGCATCCAGTGTCAAATCAGTACGCAGTTCTTGGTAGATGTGACAAGCTAACAGCTAGCATGCTAAATAGAGCATATTCTTATGAGATGGTCAAAACACAGACTTTTATAGAGGACTTATTCCTGGTAATTTACTCATATTAGAAACAAAAGTTCTCCAAATTATCACAGAGAGCACAGATCTATCCCTCAAGTGTCATGGTTGCTAGGCGACACTGAGGTGAGGGCTGAATGGTTACTGAAGGCTAGACGGTCCCTGACTTTCGTTTTTTTTTTTGAGGTCCTGACCCACGAAGGACAGTTCCTTTCAAGGACACAGCCCCTGAATTGGGACAAACCCATAGCTGGGGAGTATACTTTAAAAACACATCATAAATCACTCTACATTCCCGATTTCCAGGTAAATCCAGCACAGCATTAATCACAAAAGGTAGACTGTAGATGTTTATCATTTAAACTGATAGCCCCTAGAGGGCAGCATTGTACCATCCAAGACCAAATATTTTAAAGTTAGATATAGATAGATAAAAATGTCAAGATTTTTTATGAAAATAACACATACCTACCCTACTTCCATTGCAACCTGGGCTGGATCCACTGTTACTTGGGCTACCTCCATTGCAACCTGCGCTACAGCTACTGCTACCAGGGCTAGATCCATTGCTACCTGGGCTAGATCCATTGTTACCTGGGCTAGATCCACTGCTACCTGGGCTAGATCCACTGCTACCAGGGCTAGATCCACTGCTACCAGGGCTAGATCCACTGCTACCTGGGCTAGATCCACTGCTACCAGGGCTAGATCCATTGCTACCTAGGCTAGAGCCATTGTTATCTGGGCTACCTCCAATGCTACCAGGGCTACCTCCATTGCTAACAGGGCTACCACCATTGCTACCTGGGCTAGATCCATTGCTATCTGGGCTAGATCCATTGCTACTTGGGCTAGATCAATTGCCACCTAGGGTAGATTCATTACTACCTGGGCTAGATCCATTGTTACCTGGGCTACATCCAATGCTACCAGGGCTACCTCCATTGCTACCATGGCTACCTCTATTGCTACCTGGGCTAGATCCATTGCCACCTAGGCTAGATCCATTGCTACCTAGGCTAGATCCATTGCTACCTGGGCTAGATCCATTGCCACCTAGGGTAGATCCATTGCTACCTGGGCTAGATCCATTGCTACCTGGGCTAGATCCATTGCCACCTAGGCTAGATCCATTGCTACCTAGGCTAGATCCATTGTTATCTGGGCTACCTCCAATGCTACCAGGGCTACCTCCATTGCTACCAGGGCTACCACCATTGCTACCTGGGCTAGATCCATTGCTATCTGGGCTAGATCCATTGCTACTTGGGCTAGATCAATTGCCACCTAGGGTAGATTCATTACTACCTGGGCTAGATCCATTGCTACCTGGGCTAGATCCATTGTTACCTGGGCTAGATCCATTGTTACCTGGGCTACATCCAATGCTACCAGGGCTACCTCCATTGCTACCAAGCTTTCCTCCATTGCTACCTGGGCTAGATCCATTGCCACCTAGGCTTAATCCATTGCTACCTGAACAAGATTCATTGCAACCTGGGCTAGATCCATTGCTACCTGGGCTAGATCCATTCCAGGGATACCTCCATTGCTACCAGGGATACCTCCATTGCTACCAGGGCTACCTCCATTGCTATCTGGGCTACATCTACTGCTACATGAGCTAAATCCACTGCTACATGGGCTTGTGGCATGAGGTGAAAGAATTTACAGAAATTTTCTCCACTATAGGTCAGAAGTAAATTTTTTCTTCTCGATATCTACAACATGTTTAGTGATACATTTAAAATGTGAATTAGAAAAAAAAAACAATGGCTTTATTTGTGATACGATTCCATAAAGATGTGCTGTATGAAGTGAATAACCAATTCTCTGTCAACAGATTTAATCCCTTCTCTACAGCTCCTGCAGAGCTACGATGGTCTCTCTCTGAGTTCTCTTTGTCTGGCTGTAAATTTATGTGGACAGTCAAGTCTCGATACATTTTCAGTTGAGTTATAATTAAATTTTTCTTTTTTTTAATTGAAGGATGAGCAAAGCACTGATACTGTTTTAGAACATAAAGGCTTCTTTATGAATTAAGCTCTTCTCAGTTCCATGCTGGCATGCCTGTGCAAATTCTCAGTCATCTGGTTCATGAAAACCACAGAACAGGCTTAAATAGAAAGGTAATTCAACTTTCGCTCAGTTTTTCGGAAAACCTTTTGACACCTATCAAGGAGGTTTTGTCAATTTGACCTGTAGTTGGAACCCTTAAGCTTGTAAGCACCAGGAATTCCATCCTACTAAGCACACTCATTCTGCTTGGTCATTGGAGTTTTCTATTGGTTTTGTGTTTGGCTTTCCAGGACAGAGTAGATTCTTGGAGGCAGAAACCTCATCCGTGATGGCTTTTCTCTTTTAATAAAGATGGCTCTTGTCAACCATCATCACAGATTTATGTCCTCCAAAGTGTGACTGTAATTTTTTTCCTTGAGCTTTTCACAATGTTTTAATCGTAGTTATAATTATGGGCCACATTATAAGATTTTACTTAATGTTTATATTTTCAAAGGTTTACCAGTAGAAGCTGAGGCTTGTGCACCATGTTTTTCCATGTCTGCATAGTTAAATTTTTTTTCCCAGGTGTCTGATGTGGAAAAGCAGTCTGCGTGCATGCTGTGCGGAGGAAACGGATGCTAAAATTACGCAATATGTAAAAATATCAAGCATACAATGTTTAAGCAGTATGGATGCTTTTGCAAGGCACCTGTCTCCATACAGCTTACTTAGAAAGAAGTGAGTTTCATGTATTACCCAGAGGAAGAAAGTACGTCATTTACATGCATTTAGTGCATCACCCTCTCACCTTGTCCTTCTCTTTTTGAGAGGTCTTGTCCAGCTGACTGAGTTTGAGCTGCAGCTGAGCAATGATTTCATTTTCAGCCTCCACCTGCTCCTGCTCTGCCCGTCTCTCGGCCTGCAGCAGAGCCTGCTCCATCTCCACCTACAGACAAATGCAGGATTAGGTCCTTCATAGTCATAGCCACTGCATTTGTTATTTTAACTTATTTTTTTTCTCGTGGTGCACTGGAAATTCCCCAAAAATGTTTTTATTCTGAAACAATCATGCATAAGTTGGTGCTTGTTGTGTAGTTCTTCTAATTCACGTGTGTCAAAATATGTACAAAATGTATAACTTTGACCCAATTTGATGAAATGTCACTGAGATCCTAACAGCTACTCTAACAGAAATCATTAAAAGCATGTTTTTGCTTGATTTCCATAGCTGCTGCAAGAGAAGAACATGTTTTGTAAATTGAAATATGAATAAATTTCCATCATGAAAATTATCTTTGAAAAAAATGTAAAAAAAAAAAACTGAAGAAAATTTTAAAATATAAAATTTGTAAGAAAAAAATTATCATCTAAGAAAACAGGAAATTTACTCTTAAAACTTTTTTTTAAACCTTCTTCAAAGTTTAATTTCTGAATAGCTTTTTTCATTTCAATTGTCAAAACACATCCTTTGCTTGCAACAATAATGAAATAAACTTGACTCCATAGTTTCCTCATATTAAACTGCTGAAGTTTTTGAAAATCCAGCTGGGCCTCAAACGCAAAAATAATAACATTGTTTAATTGATCATTTAAAATCTCTAAATAAACATAACAGTCATTAAGGAATGAAGTCTGTCCTAAAGTGTGCATCTGTGAAAGCCTATGTGAATGTGTTCTTCTTCTGACCTCCTGTTTGGTCTCTTGTAGCTGCTGCTCCAGTTCACCAACTCTGTACTTTAAGTCGTCAACTCGAACCAAGACCTTTTTCCTCTCCTCCTCCAGGTAGACCTGTTCCTGTCCAGCAAACAGCTCACACTAAAGACAGATTAATTATTATTTTATGTTAAAATCCAATTATATGGTGTGACATTGTATGGGTGAATTGTACCTCTTGATGGGTGCTCTCTGTGCTGCTGGATTCCTCTCTCTGGGTCTCCTCATCGTTCTCTCCCACCCTCTTGGCTCGTTCTGCTCCCCCAAGAGATACCCCTCCTCCTGAATCTGAGCCAACTCCTCTAATACCCCCGATCGGGCCGCTCCTCACCAGCTCTGCAGGGCTGTCTTCCTGATTAAACTCCGCACACAGATTCAGGATGGTCTCCAGCCTCTGTCGCTCCTGTAGGAGACACAGGAGACATGAGCATGCCGTCCGATATTCCAGATCACACTGAGGATTAACCGCATTTCTCCTTGGCTGACATTGTCCCATTTAGGCAGCTGTCAGTTAACCACAGGCACGTGGGGACATATGCAACCTGATAGTAGGTCCTCTCTCAAGAGGGGCCCTCTAGTGAAACCTGACAAGTGGTTATGTAGGAAAACAAAATAAGGCAGGCTGTACAAACAATAAAGAATCATAAAAAAAAAAAAAAAAAAAAATCTGTCCCTAAAGTAATATTTTTAGTTTTCTGTTATTATACACATGTGATGCAGTGTTCTAGATTCCATTCACATTCTTGTCTCTTAAAGGCCTTTTCGACTGCGCAGGAACTGGGTGCATTCAATAAACCGGGTCGTTTTTAGATTTAGAGCCAACTACTGCACTAAGTATACGTGTGCATCAGACATGTATTCAAACGGAGACGGAAGACCACCGGAAATAAAAGCAGAAGAGGATGACCATGAGAAAAACAAAGCAAACCAAGATGGATGAAGTTCTGGCAGCACAGATGCTACTCCTTGATGTAAAAGCATTTGTGACTATTCAGCATTTGGCAACATTGTCGCACACACTTGCAGAGTGGTGCTTCTCATGTGCAAGCTGTAGTAAACTCCAAACCTTCCGCTTTGACATACTTGGTGCTAGGCCAGCTCTCGTTTGGCCCAACAAAAACATGGCGCTACTGTGGCATCAGTTTCTAGCTCCAGGAGCTGGAGCTTTCGGCCCACAATCGTGCTAAACAACACGACTACTAATTTAATTTACTAAAACATGTTGGATTATGTAGCAATAACTCTAATCTGAATCGCTTAGAGGCCTGGCATTAGAAGAATACAACCCTCTTCTGTGCCTATCTCCATAGCCTGCTTTAATCTGCCATATAAATAAAGCAGGCTGTGATATATCCGACTCAAACCTTGATTTCAGAAAGTAACTTTCAGTCAGTTTTATCTGAAATGAAACATAAAACCCTGATGCTCGATGATCGACTGTCCTTGCTTCAGGGTTTATTATTTTAACGTATTGCAGGCAGTGGAAAAACATTGATTTCACCTTCTGCTTTAAATAACCCCGGGCCCTGTTTCATCAAAAGCTGAATTCAGAAATTCCAGGATGAGTTAAAGCCAGACTTTACCTACAGCAGCATGATCGGTGCATCCTTTTCTTCATCTGTTCCTTAAAGGCCAAGCCAGGCTTCAACGTTACAGCTACCTCAAGCACAGTGTAAGTATTTACGGTAAGCTAAATGCAAGACTGCAGTTTTTTTTAAGAGACCAATGAGGTCAATCACAGATCATTTGATTCAGCAAACACTAAATGCCCAAACAGCCTAAATTTCCCTAACCACATTCCCTAACCACTTCCCTTAAATAAAAACATCACAATTTAAGGAGTTACTTGTTTTGGGTTTTTCTTTTTTCAAAGTCACTCTATGGTACAGGGCTTTATGGTTTGATTTCAGTGTAAAGCACTTAAGATTGAATCCTGACTACTTTATAAAATAACTGAATGTGAAGAACTTTATTAAACAGCAGATATGATTTTTTCACTTTTTTGTCCTAAACTTCTGTTATTCCCAGGATTATAATCTATCAAAAAAATCTGTAGCCTCATTCATGTTACATTTTATACTGTAGAATCCCTCCTTCATGTAGTTATTCCTTCTGAGGAAATTATAAAGATTTGTGTCTATCTTTTTAATGCTAAATACACATTTGTGATGTGGTAAATAGTGTCTTTGTTAAAATGTTCAGTATCTTCTACTACATACTAACCTGGCATAAGCCAGATTGATGCGTGTAGTTCAGTATCAATCTGGAAAGGCTTCTGAGGAAAGTGTTCACAAAAGGGAGGAACATTCAGTACAGTTCTTCGAGCTGATTGGGTAAATCACCAAGCGGCACATTCCTCTGATGTCTAGCGTATAACAACCGCAGCAGCAGTAGCAGCTGTGATGTATCACATTCATGATTTGTTTTAGAACAAGCAGAACTAACTGATAAATCAAAATTCTACTAATCATTTAATTCTACTAAAAAAAAACAGAAATCAGAGCACACACATTATGAGGTATTAGTGATTAAACGTGTGGCGGAATCAGGTAATTAGTTTTAGAGAAAAAGAAGAATAGATTTAAAAAAATATTTACATTTTACTCATATCCAGCTTTGTAATCCAGCAGCTTTGTGCATTTGTTATACCTCAGCTATGGGAAGACTTTTGCTCTGTAGCTGCCTGTGCCTGTAAGACAGCACAGAGGGTGTACAGAGACCCAAAGCTGCTGCCAAGAGACATTAATAGTAGAATTGGAATTTGCTAAACTCGCCAAAAAGTAAGAAAAAAGTTAAGTTCAATTCAATTACGTTAATTTATATAGTGCCAATGCACAACACATGTCATATCTCAAGGCACTTTAAAGAGACAATTCCATTGATTATGCTAAGTGATCCAGATCCTGAGGAAGCAAAACAGCACCAGACCATGACCCTACCATTACTATCTAACCATTACTGTTATGTTCTTTTTGTCAAATGCTCTACTATTAATTAAAACATTTCTTTTTGCATGTACTCCTGTTATGTTTGTCTAATATTTAAATTAGTTTGATGGGTCACATTATACAAAGCAACAACAACAAAAAAACGACACTAAACCATAAAAAGGAGAAATACTTTTGGTTTCACCTAAAAAAAATATTTATTTATTCTGGGTTTGACCCACAATGAATCATGGGAAATTGTAGGCCATGAAGATTTATCTACATTTATCCTTCAAATGTGGGAGAGAAAGATTTATTACATGTATAGGCCAAATTTAAAGGATTCTAATAAAGAACCGGGAAATGAAAAAGTAAGATAGTCAGAAAATGGGACATCCTTCATTTCACCATAGTTGACATAATCAGTCTACAAACCCAGTTAACTTTAAAGACCTTTTCAGCCAAACTAAAATATCTGCTGGGTTGACTGGGTTCTTTTATTTAAGACAAGCTCAGATTTTACTTGATCTATGACTTGACAAGTTTATTCCTAAGACTTGAGAACTGACAACTTCATTCCTGAGACCTGAGGATGTCCTAAAATGCACCCCGTAAAACTGCAGAATCTGTTGATTCTGTAACTTTTCAGAGTGTAGATCCCTGTGCTTTGGAAGCTTTGTAGTGGTTTCCAGGGGGCACCTGTGTGAAGCCTTCCCTCTTCAAGTGGCAGAAAGTAATACATCACAGCAGTGATTCCAAACCCGGGGTATTCATACCCCTAGTAGTCCACGAGTGCATTGCAAGGGGTACATGAAAATATTTTATTTCTTAGGTGGCAAAATAGAATAGGGCAGGGATCGGTTTTGCTTTGTTTTGCAATGTATAATGTGCAATTAATCCTGTGAAATAACCTGTTTTTTTGTATTTCACACCCAATGCAATAAATATATACATAAATATCGATCCATATAAATACCTGTGTAAACACCCTGTGCAATAACCTGGTATAGTGATCCTACTATTAAAAAAAAAATAAATAAAAAACAAGCTGTCATAGTGGATGCACTGTATATATTGTTGTATATCTCATGCACCTTTTTCTTAATTTGGCACTTTCTTCTTTGACTATTTGAGCTGATGTAATGAGTAAATTTCTCAACTGTGAGATCAATAACGTCATTCAATCAATCAACAAATACCCTATTTTTTGTTTGTTTTTCATATAAGTGAAAAAAGATGTTTATGTGTCTATGTATAACATTGTGTAATTGTTGAAGAATTTATAAAAAAAACTTGGTTAAATAAAGAAAGTTCCTTTTATTCCCTGTTTTTCATTCTGATGGTTGGATTTAAGGCTCATGAAGCCATGCTTAATTGCAGGGAGTTGGTGTCATGTGATTGGCTGATGGGCTGTTTGCACTACAAGACAGATAAAGAGTAAACAGATGGTGAGTTTAAATTCACTTGTTTTTTACAATTTAATGTTTAGATTTATTTACAGAGCCCTCCATGACATGAAATACCATGCAAATTTAGTAGAGGGGATAATCAGGTCCAATTAATGTCACCATCTGAAAAATAATTGCAAAATAGTCCTTCTGAAAAGCTCCTAAAACCGTGAAAAGTAAGACATTTTATCTGTAGATTATTTTTACATTTCCGGATGCTTAAGAGAGATCAGGTTTGGTTGATCATGATGTTACTTTTTTGGTTGCTATAGACATTTTTTGGTCATTGAAACATCTCTTTATATGAAGAGCCTGCTGTGACCTCCCACCCATCGTGATTATCTCAGCTGTTAGTGGGCAGAAAAGGGTGGGAGGGAGCCAGATTGCCATTTGGAGGGTGATGAGAAAAGACTGCCTGCACTCAACTGAAGATAGATATAGAGTATGCAGTCTATGATCTAGTGTGGGAATGAAGAAGAAAGATTCCCGCATGAAGGGGAGGCAGCTTTGAAAGTAGATGCTGCTCATCTTTCCGGTAAATATAGTGTTGAGCAACAACCAGCCACACCCTCTGCGTCGGACGCCCCATAAGTATACCCCCCCCCCCCCCCCCCCCCCCCCCCCCCCCCCCCCCCCCGTGTCACCAAGGCCACATGGGCCATCGATGCCAGCAATGTCCGGAGAAGATATTAATTACTGGCCTGGTGCCAGAGAATTTCGAGAGGATATGAAAGGAGACGGCCATGCCAGGAGTCACTGAACTGTGATTATCTCCTTTACAAACCGGTTCATTTGGGTAAATGTGTGTATCTCCCTGATAAGATAAATTAGATACTTGGCATGTTTGTATCTGAAGCAATAATCTACATATCTCCAAAGCATCTGTCTGATATTTGACTATTAACAGCTCATGGTAACAAACCGAAGATCCAACCATAGACAGAATATCTATTGGTACTATGTTTGCAACTATATTATTGGAAAATTTCATGCTTTCAACAATGTTTTGGGGTTTCCTTCCCAAAAATCAAAACAGAGATTATTTCACAAGAAAGAACGGATAACACCCTTCATCTCAAACTAGAACCAGTCGGCGTTTAAACATAAACTTTTAAAATTAGTTGGGTCTAAATCTTTTCATATTTTGATATCTTACCATTTTTTCCATTTCCTGCTCCTTCAGCCTTTCCTCTCTCTGCCACCGGTGGTACTCCATCAGCTCATCTTCATTATCGCTGATCTCGGAGATGCTGTTCTTACGTTCCCTGGTATACAGTTTTGTAGGATTTCCTTCCTTGCTGAAGGATCCCTTTGCGCTCATGCAGGCAGTCCTCCGTTCGTTAAAAGGGCTAGCCATAGGAGACAAATCAGAAAATGAACCCAGGCCTGACGTGATGCCAGTTGTTAATCCAGGCTGTAACGGTCTGCTCTCTGACTGTTTTTCCAGCCTGGAAACACATGGGTGGCTCTGTGTGTATAGGGGCCTCATGGCCTCTGCTTTTAGTGGTGTTGAAGGTTTGCGCTGGCCCTGTGGGCTCTGAGGAGCTCCTTGTGGTCCTGGAGTCCCCCTATAGGACACAAAGGGGCTGACCCGCGACAGTTCCCTAAGGTTATTGGTGCCAGCCATCCTATGAGGAACATCAACATCCGAGAGGGGATGGGCCAGCTCTCGCATTGGGCTGTGGGACCTTGTCTGAAGAGAGGAACTTCTTAGTTGAGGGCTGGATGGTGCTGTGCATGAAATTTTGATGGAAGAGTGTTTCTGACTTGGACATCCGTTGTCTAACCCAGTTCCGTGTAGCTTGGGGCTTGATGTCGTCTCTTTACCTACATTTCTTAGAGGCTTCGGGCTCTCCTGGGTTCTCTGAGTTCTTCCATTACCGCTCAAAGCCACAGAGTGTGAGGTCCGGGGATAAGGAACAGGTACTGCATGGGGTTTATTGGTAACATGCTGAGTCAGAGAGACGCTGCCACTGTTTTCTTGACCCAAATTGCCTGGCGTAATGCCATTTTTCCCGTTTGGTATGTCCACAACAATCGTTTTGGAAGACTGTTTTCCAAAACCAGATAATGACAAGGCTGGTTTCAGTTTCACTGGGTCCTGCTGAGCGGTTGCCATGCCATTGAGTTTAGCTTCATTGTTCTCTGAAAATGACTCTTGGCTTCCATTGGAGATGCTGTGGGGGTCTGCAGAGGGGAGACAGACACATTTGTCCATGAACATTCCTGTTAAATTAAGGGAGAGGACAGTTGTTAAAACACTGACAAGTAAAAACACCATGTGGGGTATCTGTCTTATTTACCAATGCCGACATCCCAGGTCAGCTCTGGGGCAAAGGCTGGATGCCATTTTTGTTTTATACAATAACTCACAACCATGGTGTCAGTGGGAGATTTACAGACATTCATTGTCTGCATGGATGTCAGAGGAATTTAGGGCTTATCACAGAGAATTTTGGCAGTTTGTTTTATAGTATTTAATATTTATATGACAAAAATGGTAATACAATTTCTTTTAATTGGCTTTTTTCAAATTTAAAAGACTCAGAAATATTAATAAAAATGTATAAAATCACATGAATTTAAACTGATACTGTTTGGATTACCCTCCTTAACAATTTACATGGAATTCTCACAATTTTTCTTTTGCCAAGAGAAAGGTGTTCTGTTAAAATTCTGGCACATTCTGGTCATCTGGACATTTAACCACTATTATTGTGTTGATTTACCTTGGTTAGCAATAGACCTGGCTTTACAGCATAGACTGTTTTTTGTTGCAATTTTTAACAATCTAGTAACCACTAAAGGTTCCAACTATTATAAGCTGGAAGATAGTGCCCCACTAGTACTACCATCCACTATGTAAATTAAACTAGCTACAGAGTACCGACAAAGAAAAAAAGCATTTGGCCAGGATGTAACATAAAAGCTTGATTAAAATTTGCAGTTATCCTCAGAGAACAGTTGCATGGCCATGTGCAACAATGGAAAAGTTGTTTTGTCATAATGATAAGGTTAGTTTGGAGGACTTCAGATGGGGATTTCAAACCTAAGAGAATTAAGCCATCTATCAAGCATGGTCATGGCAGCATTATGCTGAGTGGCTGTTTTGCAATCGAATTGCATTACATTAACTTTAGAGAAAATTTATTTACGTGGGTCCACGCCCTTTCCAGTTCTAGGGCAGACCCATGATCCATGCTCATAAATTTACCTTTGTTCGTCAAGTTACCGTAGTTTGACTTTATTGAAATTCACAGGAACTTTTTTTCTATGGTGTCTCACTTTTCCTGTTTGTTTGTGAAGTATGGGACCTTAATGCAGGGACCGCTGCAGCGTCCAGCCAAACTTCCTTCTTGTGGTTTTACTTTGCTGATCAGCGCAGCCTTGGTGGCTGCATCCACACCTGATCTGCAACGTGGCTGAGGTGATTGTGCACTTTAAATTTGATTGAATTTAGGTTTCTGGCAGTGCTTGCACTTTAGCCACACCCTGTTCATTGATAGCCCAGTGTTAAGGAGACAAAATGGTGCAGAAGCCATGTGGAGTACCGTAATGTGGCATAGTTAGCATGAAATTATTCAGATTTGTTGTTAGCCTGCCGTCAAAACCAGATCCACTGCTCTTTTATTATTTTATAGTTTATTGATCCCAAATGGAAATTTAATTCTTTGCATTTAACCCATCCTAGTGATCTAAACATGTTGTGTGACTGAGTAATGGTGTTATATAGAAAGAAGGATTAAAACACATTAAAAGAGCACTCACTTGAAATTTCTGTTTCCAGCCAACTGGCTGGCAAACAATACAATTGAAGGTTGAAATGAGAGCAAGCAAACGTAAAGTGAGCTACCTAATGGCAGCAGGAGTTCAGCTTTTTATCTTTTTCAAATCCTTGAAATAACGTATAGTTCTCCAACACCCAAAAACAAAAGCAGGCTTTGTAATAGCATAAGCAGCAGGAATGACCCAGAGTTCAAGTCTTATGGCAACACAAAGCTTAAGATATGTATTTCAAAGCCCCCCACCCCCTCAGTCTCTTGTCTGACCCAAACCCAGTTTCACAGGATGCTCCATAGAGTTGTTGTAAACCTATAGGGATGCAGAACAGCTAAACTTAAAAATTAAGCCATTTTACTTGTTCACAGCAGAAAAGTTCATGGCTTCTCCAGGAAAGACTGGCCTGAACACTAAGGACAGGGTGTGGTGGCCATTACTGTTCAGGCGCTGACAGCCGAACTAATAAGGTCACAGAAGAATGGGTTCTAAATATCACAGTGGGCCACAATGATCTAACATTCACAGTGAAAGCGAACAAATAGCAGGACACAAAGATTACAATGAGGTCACCACCCTGAGAGAACATGGAGAATAAGTAGCTCAAAATGTAGGCCGCTGATAATTAGATTTTTTTTCCCTCTTCTATCAGGTTTGATGATGTTTAGAGTCAGGGTCTGAATAAAAAAATAACAGTAATGAGATTAAAAGATGGAAAAGTGCACAAGTCTTTTTTGCCTTTCACGTTTACAGCTGAAGATCCCGACTATAATGTGCTTGTAAACTACACAGGAACCAGTTGTTAGAGTGCTGTTTAACCTATTGTTCAACAAACAATCTAAAGTAGCATATGTGCCCAGGGCATATGTTCGGCCCAGAATAACTGCAGAGCCAAAACCATTTGTACGCACAGTTGTTAAAGGAGAGTTATTTCTGGATCACAAGAACAGTTCAGAGTAGTGCTGGATTTGGATGATGGGAATTTGTTTGTGCAGTTGTTGTTTTTTGTTTTTGTTTTTGTTTTACCAGAGGGGAACGGTTTGACTGTGTTCACTCTGAGGCTCCCTGCAGGCAGCATACTCTTCATTCTCTGAGCCTCCTCGGGATGGTTGAAGCGGAAGAAGGCAGACTGACCAAAACACAGCATGCACCCTGTCAGGAAACACAAGCATTTTTAGACACATGTCAACTATTACCTGAGTTTCATGATTCCTTTAGCAAAATACTTTAAACTACACTTCTTTCACTACACCTAAGCATTGGCACAGAAAAAAAACATAGTTTTGCATGTTTGAATTTATAACGAAATATCTTTAGTTCAGTTTTCAAAATTTCACTAAAGAAATCTTATCCACTTTCTATAGACTTTATTTTATTTTAATAGTTATTCTGCAATATTAGCTTTTTTCTATGCAGTAAAATGTTGATATCAATAATATTTTATTTAGTTTGCCCATAGTGTAAATCAGGTTTTAGCCTTTCACATAGAAATACAGATTATAGTTTAGGTTTCAGCCACCTGTGACGTATTTATCTTCCTAAACACAACATAAACAAACTGGTCAATTCAATATAATTCTAAAATAAAAAATCAGATTACCTCTTTATGACTTCATTGCTGTTTAACCCTCTAAGTATCTTTAAAGTCACATGGAGAAGCTTGGTTTCCAGTTGCACATGTTCCAGAGGAAGTTTAACAATTATCGTTTAAAGTCCTGTGTTGTTTCCAGGTTTTAATGCCTCCCGATTCACAAGATCTTGTTCGAAATGTGACGATTGTCCTTTCAATTGGTTTAAGAGTTTGAAATATTCTTGTTGAGCAGCTGCTGCCTCCACACACACACATACACACACACACACACGCCAGCTTCGAATGACATTCTGTTCCTTTTGCTGGAGGGGGTGGGACTATCCATGGCTCTTTTATGGGACAGTGCCAAGCAGTTTACGGCACTGAATCTATTCTCCCTTCAGTGAGGGACAGTTTTGTACAACAAATAAAAATCATTTTTTTATTGTGAATTTTACCCACTCAGGTAATGAAGGACACAAACAGGCTCACACCGTTTTCATCACACCCAATTAAGCAGAGAGGCTTGTAGAAGCAACCAACTCATCTTCATCTTCACCATGTCATCACTGAGGGTACAGTTCATTTAAAAGGTTTGTTTCCTGATTTGATTTCCGGCGCAGTTTATACATTTTCATCAGGGTTGAGGTTACCCTGTTGCAGTGGCAAGAAAGTTTTCATAGCTGTGGCCAGGCAGGAACCAATGTGCAAAAACCAAAAGGTGCAGAAGCCCGTTTAGAGTAAATATATACTGATGACAATAAACCAAAAGGAAAATTGATGTGCACAGCATCTATATTTTCCAAATAAATCCCCTACTAACATGAATCAAACGTTTAAGCAGTGTTATTTAAATTGATTTATTGTTCTACACAATATGTACATTAGATGGGCTGAAATGAAGTATTTATCTTTAATTACATAGAAAGAAACTTACATGACTACACAGATACAGATTCCCCCTTAGAACACACAAATAACAAGTCTTAAAAAAGCATGAATTCTATATGTCCTTTTTATTTGTAGTATATTGTCATTAAAAATGTATAACTGTATTTTTGTTTTCAGTTATTGGTTTTTATACTAACTTTAAAATGTCAAAGTAGGACACAATGGTATCACTGCTGCCACCCACTGGTTTAGAGGAGAACTGCTTAAGTCAAAGGTCATTAATTACATCCATTCATTTTTATTATTATTATTATTTTAAATGACTGTCATATATCACTACAATGAAATCAAAAGATTATAAGGAAATTCTGCTATGAAATGTCTTGATATTTTTTTCCCTGAAATATTTTAATTTTCTTTCCTCAACTGATGTCCACCCCCACCCGCCACCCCGATATTCTGCTGTGTATTTTTGTATTCTATCCTAACTCTTGTTTTCAGGAGTAATTTTCAAAATAATTCATATTTTACTGTATGTGAGTGAACACAAAACAATTTCTAGTTACAATTTTTAATATTTTGTTAGTGGCAACATTGCAAATACGGGGTTTGATCCTTTTACTCCGTTACAACGAGGGTCCATGAGCACACTTCATAGAGGGGCGTAGGGATTAGTGTGAGTATTGGGACTGTGGGTCACATGATACATCGTGCAAAGCAGGAAACATATAAAGAAAGCTTCTTTTTGAAGGGGAAACGGACCAGTGATTACTCCACTGAGTGTTATATTCCTATTATTATTATTTTTAGAGGAAATAACACTTTTTTTATCATTTCGTATTATCTGCTACAGATCGGTCAATGAAAATAATCTATGACACTAAACTTTTCCGTGGTGCATGAAAAGGTTGTGGAGAACTGGTTAGGAAAACATACATAATATGATGAGTGTATATAAATGTTGGAGAATTAATTAATTTAAAATAAAAAATATACATATATTTTTTTATTATTTATAAATTAATCATTAAATATTTGTCAGCTCTTAATATTGATCTTAAAGGTATAGTGGAGGATTTATGCAAATTTTTTAAAAGATCCTCCCTCTCCACTTTTAAAACTAAAAAGCACATGCACAACCCTGTACCCGCTCCCTGAGAGGGGACATCTTTTAAACGTGTGAGCGGGTGTGCATGAGCCCATTTTTTCTTGTGCACGCTCTGTTTAAAAGTCTCTGTTTGCATCACTCATACAAGCTTACTTTCCAAAAGAAGTAAAAATGGGGACGAGCACGTAGGACGGCCTTATGTAAACATATCACCGGAATGATTGACAAATAGGTGGATAACTTATTTTGATGAACATCCTCCACTATACCTTTAATACTGGTGCGTGATCTTAGATAATCAAAAAAGGAGGAGCTAAAGATTTAAAATCTAAAATTCAAAAGTGTTGTTTTTTAAGTTATATTGGTCTACATCTAAAAAGGATGATCTATTAAAATGCATGCAGGATTTCAGAAAGAAATATGAGCTTATTACTTTTTTTAAATGGTACCAGTACACATTTCAAACTACTTTCATCCCTCCTACCTTGTGTAAGGCGATATGGTTTGGTGATGGGAAGCCCATCCACAGAGCATTGGTTCCCACATGGATACAGGGTGATGTTCCCTGCTTGGTTCTCAATGTAGCAATGCTGGGGTGTGATGCCTGGGCCCTGCAGCGGGATATCTGTCCCATCGCTGCCCAGCGTGGTTCTCCCTGAAACCAGAACAAAAAGCTTATTCCCTTCCTGGAGAGCTTTAGGAACCAACACACCTCTAAGAGTATTCTGAGGTTTCATAGGTGGAAGAACAACAGAGCATCACGTCCATATTGGTGGGAACCCTCAAAAGACACAACCAGACTGACAAAAAGGTTCATTATAGGAAATTAATTAACTCAATGTTTTATAGACATGATTTAATCATTGGCTGCACAATACAATGCAAAAGTATTCAGGCTCCATCACAACTGCAAACTTTGAGTTATGAATAAACATACTATAAACAGGAAGGAAATTATTTTTTTTATTTAATTTTAACAAGACAATAAAAACTAGTGGTACTCAGTTTATCTATTTAACCTTAATTTAACCTTAGAAGTTTTGTTGAGATAAAAACCTATTTTTTCTTCATCCTGCAAAGGGAATCCAGTGAGATGATGATGGAGTGAAAGACTTAATGTTGGGGTGGGGGTTCACCCTTAGGATAAAGATGCTTTGCTAACGTTACCAGCAACAGCAAGGATGAAAGCAGTACTGTTTCAAAAGGCGGGATTTCCTAAAAAGAAGCCAATCACAGGTGCTTTACCTTCTTTACATGACAAAAGTTCACAGGGGCCTGGAGAAAAAGTCCCTATACGAATAGGAGAGAATCTACTCACGCTGAGATGATTTTTGCTGATTTAATGAAAAAGGAAACATAAACAAAAGTCAAGAACCAAAATACAGGAAAACTACAAAGACATTGGGCAGCCAACAAGAAACTAGTGATGAGGAACTGCAGAGGTGGTGTATACAGTATATAGGGGACAGAACAAAGAATGGGCTAATGAGCTGATATGGAGCAGGGGTGGATGGAAGTAACTTGAAGGGAGCTATGTGAAGGTAGACAGATACAAGGGGGCAACAAAGAGTAAACACAAAATGATAAAGAAACCAAAGATCAACAAAACGGAAAGACATAAACAACTGAAACTCAAATAGAAGTCCAAAAGGGGGAGAACCATACCAATTGGTGTCTCCTGGTATTGAATAGCGTGACACATTCAAAATTTACATTGAGAACAGTCAATATCTGTGTTTTAGATAAAACTGTACTAATATAAGCATATTTGTATTTTATTGCAAATGTGCCTTCTTGGAAGAGTTCTGGCTTTATTCACCGATCTATAAAATAAAGCACATAAGCATCCAGATTGTTTCTGCAAACATCTGTGACGGTGTGGATCAGTGAACACCAGATTGGTTGTGATAGGGTGCCGCTGTGCAGCATTTCCAGTTGTGAAATGTTCTCCCTAAATATTTCAGCATCAACTGTCAGTGGTGTTACACCAAACTGGAAGGTGTCGGGAGCAACAGCAGCTCAGTAATGCAGTGGTAGGCCATATAACCTAACAGAGGGAGGTCAGCAGATGCTCAGGCCCATAGTGCTCAGAATCAGCTTTTTCTATTGCAGGACTGATTAGTATTTTGTTAAGGAAGTTTAAATTCTACTTTTTATTTAGTATATTTCTACTTAGCACTACATTTTTAAGTTGTGGATTTTCAAAACCCTTTAAACATTTAAACAGTTTTCAGTTTCACAGTAAAAGCTCAGCCCCTTTTACCTTCTAGCAGCGGCAGCAGAGTGATGGCTGTGCTCAAACGTCCACTTCCCAAGCTAACCAGGTGGGGGCGCTCTGCCTGAACCTTCAAGGACTTCCCTGTTTCAATCAGGTCGAGAGGAGTATTCTGTCAAAACAAAACAATCAAACATTATTAATACCTCATCTGTCAGGTTAATAAGTATAAACAGAGTGATTTATATTTTTCACTCTAACAGGCAGAATATAGTGTTGACACTTTTAATAATTTGAAGTGAAGAGTTTTTTGCTTTTTGTGTGTGTTTGAAATCCTTTAAACTCAGAGGAAGTGGATCCAAATTATATCATATAAAATACTGTAGTGAAGTTAGGTGGGTGTAATAAAATAACTTCGTAGCCAGTTAGTAAATCATGAAGATCCTGAAGTATCAGTAGAGGTGGGTGGAGTACCTAGAAAATGTACTTAAGCAAGAGTAGCACTGCTTTATTTTATTCTTAACTTAATACTCCTATAAGTAAGAAGTAACCATACAATAAATTACTAAAGTAATAGAAAAATGTATTGAGGAAAAAGTCTACTCAAATGCTGATCTACATATTACTCATGATAATAACATCCATCCATCTTCTCCTGCTTATTCCATCAGCATCGCATTGTGGTCCGTGCCTATCTCCGGCAGTCTATGGGCGAAAGGTGGAGTACACCCTGGACAGATCGCCAGTTTGTCGCAGGAAAACACAAAGATAGAAAATCATGCACACACAAAAGGAACCCATGCATGCACGGGGAGAACATGCAAACTCAATGCAGAAAGATCCCAAGCCAGGAATCGAACTTCAAACCTTCTTGCTGCAAGGCAGCAGTGCTACAAATTGCTCCATCGTGCAGCCCTCTGATCATCAAATATCTAATTTAGTATTTCAAAAACAATGTGAAGTTACACAGGAAATTGAAAATAATGGTGTTTCAAAGAATGAGATAGAAATAAGCATGAACATGCGACACGCAGCAGTTGCACAATTGCAGAATTTCAGGTGGAACACATTTTTTAAAATCAGTATCTGAATATATTTACAAATAATTAATTAAATCAATCTATATATAATCTGTATATAAGCCTAGGAATAGGGTAAGTTACTTTGAGTAACAAGATGGAGTAAAGTGTTTACCGTATATTCACTTGACTTCCAAATACCAAGGCAGGACGAGCAGAAATTAAGGTTAAAACAATGAAGCTCAAGCAAAAAAAAAAGTCTAACTGAAAGATAAACTGATGGTGTTTGTGTCTCTGGCTGATTTTCTTTGTTTAAAACAACCTGTTGGCATAGTCACCAAAAAAGAGTATTTATAATTCTCCATGTTTTTACTCAAATTAAAGGAAACGTAAAATGCAGTAAAACTACTCCTAAAAGTTTGTTGTCAATTTGTAAAGTTAGTCAAGAAACTGTAATTAAGGAAACACAAAAGGTTACTATCCACCTCCGAGTACCACATGTAAAAGAAGAGATGATTTTTAGACTTCCAAGAAAGAGTTAGTTTTCCACAGTTTGACTGGATCTGTTGTCCAAACATCACCTTTCCAGAGAAGATGATTGCTTGAAGTTATTGTCTATATTACCGTAGATGTAACGACACAGGCAAAAGGAATCTTTTAGTTGAGCGTAATAAGCCTCTTTCCCATTGAAATTAGCAGGTTAACGCGTTTTTCAAACATGGATCAACCTGCTTACAATTGGCATTTGATTGATTTATTGACTTTATTGTTCTCACAGCTTTATTGTTCTCATTAGCTTAAATGGCCAAAGAAAGAAAAGGTACCTGGCATAAAAATCTAATTCTAACCCCTCGCTGGCAGCTGCATGGCCTCTGTCCCTCTGCAGCTGCATGTTTGGTGACACCATTATGCTGGGTTAGCATTGATGATGTCACCAGTGCAACAGAAATCGTGAAAGTAAACAATGGAGAGCAACATGGAAGGAAGCCAGGGCGGAGTCAGTGTGCTTTACTGATTCTTTCTTTTATCCCTTCGAATGCCTCCCACAAGAGCTGCTCCATGTTAATTGAATTTAAACAGAGCATTTTCAGCTTGTTAGATCAGAAACGACTGGTACGGTGTGTTGACATCTTTACGTTGCGTTTGATAATGTCATGCAATGTCATGTAATATCAGTATCATGTATAATGTAACAGCATCCCAATCAGAGCCGAGGCGATTTTAACACGGGTCGCTTGCCGAGTCATTTGACCCAGGTAGAGACGTGTCAGTGAGCTGTTCCCTCTGCCGCTAAAAGCTGATTGTTTCCTGGTTTAAATGGGTTTTTTTGGCCAGTGGGTGGAAAAGGGATAATAGAAACGCAGTGAGAAAAGGAAATACAGCTGCAACTACAACTACAAATACAATATGTAAGCAGCAGCTGAAATTACCATTCTGCACACATTGGTGGTCTTCGTTGGAGTCTGGGTCCCAAAATTAGAGCTTTAAAAAAGTTGCATTTAAATACCACAAAATTGTTATAAAAATTCTCTTTATCGTAAGGTCGTAGCGAGTTTGATTTTTTTAATGCCCTTTGCACCACTTTTTAAAGCAGCACACATGTTAAAAATAGCTGCACAAATGAGAACACTTCATACCAAATTACTGGATATAGAGCATTAGATGAACCTGATAATCCAGCAGTTAAAATATAAGGAAAGGTTTTACTACAAAATACCACATACTAAAATATAACTGTCATCAGAGGTGGATCTATAAAGTTTTATATGGTTGCGGCTAAGATGGCACAAATGGTCTAGCCAGGGTGGCAAATACTACTAGCTTTATTGAAAAACATAAGAAATTTTACATCTTAGAAACAAAGGCCTCTTTTAGGAATAGTCTGAGTAAAATATTATTCCACAAAAAATTTGACAAAATAAATAAATGACTACAGAAAAAAAAAGTAGAAAACAAAGACTTATTACTGATTTAAGCCATTTTCCCGATGGAGAGAGAATTGTTTTGCTGGGCAGTAGAACTTTGCACAAAGAGACCAAAATTTGTTACCATGGTTATGATAAGGGCTGCAACCAACAATTATTTTGCTTATCAAATAATCTGTTGAATTCTTTTATAATTAATAATCGGATAGCCAAATGTTTCTTAAATATATATTGATATTATATATTATGTCATATAACATGTCTATTCCACTTTAAAGTTAGGAAAACATACCCAAAGAAAACTCACACACTCTTAAACAGAAGATGGAAAATCAACTAGTTCAAACCAAAGATCTTCTTGGTGCAAAGGGCAGTGTCGAAAACTGCGACACAATGCAGCTCATTCACCACATTACAATTCATCTTAAACTGGTTTCTTGCAGATGTCAATGAGTGCAATGAGTTCCAAACGTTTCCGAAGAAACCAAACTGCAATCCTATAGTCAGAGATGGCAAAAGTACTCACTTTCCGTACTTGAGTAACGCCACCGCCATCAAGCTGCAATGATTTGCCGCGAATGAATACCGCCGAATCTGTCGATTCATCTTGTAGTGGAATGTGAATTTGGTATTGATGACTTGAAAAATAATAACGGTAACTCCATTGAAATGATTCAAAACTAAAGTAATGAGCCAATTTTTTAAAATGTAAGGAGTAGAAAGTACAGATATTTGTGTTAAAATGTAAGGAGTAGAAGTAAAAAGTCGCCATAAAAATAAGTAGTAAAGTAAAGTAGAAATATCAGAAAAATCTACTTGAGTACAGTAACGAAGTATTTGTACTTCGTTACGTCCCATCTCTGCCTATAGTACACCTTTGGGGTATTCCTACCATAAAGGAAGAGTCAAATCTGCAGGGACTTGTGCTGCTATCATATCTGTGAGTAGCAAAATCTCTTGGGAACTTTCCTAACAACGTTTTGAATCTATGCCATGAATTAAGAACATTCTGATAAACTTGTAGGTAAGAGTATAATGTAGTTGTTCAAATACAAATCAGAGCATGCAGGGCTAAACAGTGCTACAAATGATTAGCAGGATCAGTGCAGGAGCTGCTGGTAATCATGTCACCTGTTCTGCCAAATCTGAAAGAAAAACTCACCTGTAAGACCTGATGGGTCTGACGCTCGTGTTCCACTCTATTCCTCCTCATGCGGTCCATGTCGACCGTACTGTCAGAAGAGTCTGACACGTGTAGATCCTAAAACACACACACAGTCATACACACACAATGTTTCAGGCCATGAATGGAGCGCTGGGAATACTGCTGAACTACAATAGGAACAGTGCTTTCCTTAGAAACCCTTCTGCCCCACTTTTACACCCATGTGACCAAACCACTACAGTGAGGAATTGTTTCTCCAGAACTATGAACAAAACCACATTGATTCTCAAATCCATTTAGGTCCAAATCCTAAAAGATTTTAAACTTTGAAGATGACACACATGGATATTGTAAAATTGACAAAATATGTGTTTTATACATCCCAGAAGGAAGGAGCTCTACAGGTCCCATATCCCTAGAACTACAGATCAGTGCTTCTCTGGTCGCGTTGACTCACTGTGACTCAGATATCGCCACAGGATGTCTGTAGACAGATGCAGAAGATTAGATTCAACTGTCTGCTCATCGGACGGGAGAGAAACCCATAGCGGGCGAGAGCACAGCTGGGCACATACGCAGCCCAGATGACACATGTGTTTTTGATAAACGCCTTCATCCTTTTCACCAACTATCACTAACATCTCTGCATCCCAAGACACATAAACTACACGCAACCGCCTGCAGCCTTCTGTTTGTTATGTCTATGAACACGGAAAGCTGGCTGTGTTATTCTCTACTATTTACATCACAGGGAAACAATTCATTTGCCTCCTTGTACAATCAGAACTGTTGGTGCTTGTTACTAAGATTGCATTTTATGACCTGAAGTAAAGCAGAAAGTAACTGTTTAGTGGACATCAAAAGTTTGATGCTAATTTATTTATTTTTTCTAAAAATAAAACCCTGAATCAAAACATTAAGTGCTATAGCAGCGACTTTTTTAAGTGGGGCAACCAGGGGGCACTAGGGGGAGCGGCCTAGTGGGTGGGGCATTGCGCTTGGAATCCAGAGGTTCTGAGTTCAAGCCCCACTCCCACAGACTGCCACAATAGCCGGCATAGAAAATAGGGAGAAAGATAAATAATCATAAAATGTTCCTAAAATATATTTTTTATCATTATTACCAAGGAGGTTACATAAAACATATCTAAAACATAGCCTCCAAGGAGGTTATAAATATATATATATATATATATATATATATATATATATATATATATATATATATATATATATATATATATATATATATATATATATATATATATATATATATATATATATATATATATATATATATATATATATATATATAAGCATGTAATCTTAAATAGGAAAAAAATGGACTTTAGGCAGGTTATTTCATCATTTCATCAACAAATAGCATGTTTTATATCCTGTGTACTATTATTCCTGGTAACAATACACTGATGATTAGATCGATGATTATTATTATTTCAATAATCCAATATTCAGTGCTAGTGTAAAGACTAGGGTACAATTAAGGCATTGTCTTGTATCTAAACTGAGAGCTCAGACCCAAAGTGCATCATTAAACTCTGGATGAGCTGCAGAGATCAGTGACTCATTCGTCAGAATCTGCTGGCTGTTGTGGAGGGGTTGTAGAAAGAATGCTTGAAGAACATATCTTGTTTTCTGCTTACCACCAAGTGCTCAAATCAGATGTCACTAAAGTGGTAAAATGGTAAAACTCTATGAGATTTTCTTAGCGTACTATTCCCACAGAGAAGCACGGTGGTGGCAGCATCATGCTTTTCTTCAATAGGGACAAATAGAATTGGTAAGAGTGGATAGGAAGAGAGATCATGTAAAGATAGGAAGAAAAACTATTAGAGGCTGCAAAATGTATAATTACCTCCCACTTGAGAAATAAGACATAATTTGTAGTTCTATCACATAAAAAATGCCAATAAAATGCATAAAGATTCCTGATTGTAAGGTTTTGCTACATTTAAGAGTAGAGAAGTCCCTAAAAGAGAGTTTCTTATAAGAGGATTCATTCTGTAACAATAAACTCTCTGTACTATTGCAAGCCATGTGAAATACATCATCAGATTATTCAGGGACTCCATGATTGACACAGAGCTGGTGCTTCAGATCTAAATGAGTTGTCATCCTTCATCAATTAGAGTTTCTGAAAAAAAACAGCCAGAAGCCCTCCACAACTTCCGCGATCTAACATTAGTCTGGGCTGTGTGAGACAACATGGCGTTCAGCTGGCGTCTGATGTCACCCCAGACAAAGCTGCCGGCTGAAACCACACGCTTCCTACAATCCTGTTCAGTGTGTGAGTCCCACAGGACCCGGGGGACACGGAGAACAGAGCGTTCCTTCTGCTCGTCCTGACACTGGAGCCCTGACGCCTCCTCTGTCAGTGCGGTGCCTGTCAACACCGGCCCCGTTTGAGACACGCACTCAGACACAGGACCAGAGAGTGGGCAGGGTAATGTGTCCCCAGTCTGCCTGACTCACACACACATGCACACATGCACACAGCTGCTGCCACAAAACTCAGAGATACAACGTACACACCCAGGCCAGAGAGCTGTCTTAATGCAGGAAAATGCCGGGCCTTTAACTGTAACCCGTCATTATGGGGGCAGTTATGCCCTTCAGAGCTACCACGAGCTTCTGAAAATAGATACTGCCAGCTACACAGTCTGGGCTGCTACTTTTAAAGACCTCTGCTGGGTTCAAGAGCTGACAAAACAGAGGTTGCAGCATTTAAATGTTATCCAGTAAAATAAAAAAAGAGCTATTTTCCTCAGCATAGAGGCAATTAAAAGTAAGCTGCAGATGGTGTTACTCACCAAACAGGCATGTCTTACCATCTCTTTACTGTAACAGAGTGTAGACAGCAGGTAGATCCATAGGTAAGCTTGAAGAAAATTGATTTCCAAAGCACTCTCCTCATTATTCTGTATGTCTTACTCCTTGGGCTTTTTTTTTTCATTCACTTTAAGTTTCTCTGCTCTTTCCCTCCTCCCAGCCCACTCTCCTCCCCATCCCGGTGCAGAATTACATCCTATCACAGCTACATGCAGCTGGGGGGGGTTGTTTATCAGCCCTTCCTTCTGAAAACATTCTCACATTTCCTGTTTATTGATTCCCTTTCTGCATTTGGTAGAAAAAACCTTTAAATTAATAAGACAGAGTTTGAATGCAATCACACTTTTCTTCTTTTTTTCTTTTTTATCTGCCCAAAAGGTCTGGCAGGTGTTACCAGGCTGATCCATGAAGGAAGCAACAAGTGGAGCATAGGTGTGAGTTCCTCCTCTGACTGTTCTGGGAAGGAGTTGCACAATAGTGTAAAATGAACAGGCCAACTAAACTAAAATTGAATAAAATGAGGCTACTGTTCTTAAAACATCTGTGATGATGGAGAAGAGGACAACTATGTTCCACAGGAAGTGAGCAAAAACATGTGAGCATCTCCTCAGATGTCCCTCAGGAACATTATTTGGCCCCACTGACAAACAGAAAAAGTGGACAAGAGTGGGAGAAAAGTTCCACTATTGATCTCTGAATGCTTTTCCCATGGCTTGGTGTGGAGGAGATGGAGGAAATGAAGTAGATGATGACTCACTGAGGAAAATCAAAGCAAAACAAACACAAGCAGCTAAGAAACAAGCTGGTCTGCAGACTCTTAAAGTCACAGGAGGATGAGCCTCCTCTCTGCAAAAACCAGATGTTGCATTTTAACCACCAACACAGCTGTAACCAGGGGTGGGTAGAGAACCCAAACAACGTACTCAAGTGAGAGTTAAAATACTTCAACATATTTTTACTCTAGTAAAAGTAAAACAAAGTCATCCAATGAGTTACCAAAGTAAGAACATATAATATTTAAAAACATGACATAAACACAGACTAGAATGTACTGTAAGGCTACATTTTCAAATTCTAGTTATAGTAAAGGTTCCAATAACATAATCAGAAAAATTTTAATCGAAAAATTACAATTCCAGGCAACAGGAACGCTTTCCAAAACCTTTTTTTAAAACGTAAAACTTAGGAAAAATCCTCCTCGAGTGACAATATTTACTCCTTGTTTTAAATTAGCTTGACCTCTGAATGTCATGGTGAAGTCACTTTGTGCTGTTTATCTTGTCTGAAGCGCTTCTTTTGTTTAAAAACACCTGTTTGTTATTCAGTTTAGTTACTCACAATGGATAGAGTAGCCACACATTTTACTCAAGTAAGAGTATTCATAACTTATTACGACTGTCTCGAAAAAAGTATTGAGTAGTAAAGCTACTTTTAAAAGTACATTTTTGTCAAAAAATAATTGAAGTAACTGTAACAGAGTAAAGGCAACTAAGGACTATCCCCCTCTGCCTGTAAACTATATGAATATGTTTATTTTTATGTATGTATGTGTAACAGCAGTATAGTCTACCATTAGAGACATTATTAAGAATGATCTTATGCACACTTATGAAATCTAACTCATGTGGTTATTTGAACATGAGAGAAATTCAAATATTTGTATGGAAGGTTTCTGCTAGTTTATCTGAGTAATTTTCTATATTTTTAAGTAGATCTCTTCTTTTCCAACCTACCCTCCATATATATTAGGGAGCTAAATTGGAGCTTTAAAGTTTGTCCAAAACAATAAGTTGAAAAAAAAATGTAAAAAGTGTTTTGATGATAGAGGGTCTCATTAACAGAGAAAACATTTAATATATTTCTATATACATATTAACATCTGTCCATTGAAAGTAAGGGGACTACAACTGTATTTCAGCAGATCTAAATGAGTCCTTTATAGACCAATGCTTTTTTAGCTATCAAACCTACTTTAATGATTACTTACATGTCAAAACTTTTGGATGACATAAATCCACACAAACTTATCAACCTTTTGATTCTCTTTTGAATATTGGACACAGCAAATGGAAATAAAGCTAAGTTATCTAATTCATTTAAATGAGGTCTTTAGATTAATAAAGCTTTGCCAGATTTCTTCCTAGCCTAGAGCCTCTTGATTTTGACATCAGTTCTGCTGATCTTCTGATCTTTACAACCAATGGAATAACACCAAAATATTCATCTGTAATATTTTAAGCACAAAA